ACAACTAAATGACCCAACAAAAATATATAAAGTAATGGAATCACTGGCAACTACTAAACTGCTGCCAGATAAGAGATATAAACCAAATAATATAAATAGAGACGTAGAATATACATTTTATTGCACATTATCCTAATTTCAAATAAAGAAGGATTTTAACAGTATTCTACCTGCTTTTTTAACCCCCTTTTTACTGCAACGCGTTTAGCATCAAACCATATTCGTTTTGGAAACCATTTGATTGATAATAACGCTCTAGCTTCCGATAACCCTGTATTGTATTGTTGGAAGAACTTGATACTGCTTCTTTGAAGTGGAATATATTAGGTACCATTCGATAACGAACACTGGTGGAAGGCGTAGAATTAACACTAATAATTGAGTTTGTTTATTAGATTTAGTAATTTTTTGCTTGTTTGAGTGAGTGCTGCTGCCATTACTTCTCTTCAATCTCTGCTGCCTGCTTCTTTGGTTCATCATGTCTGGTGATTGCTTCTTATTTGGTCTTTTATGGTCTCTGCTGGTGTCGTTCGTTCTTTGGTTCTTCTATGTTGCTGGTGTTGCTGCTGCTGCTGCTGCTGCTGCTGCTAATATGGTCTTTCCTGATCTACTGTCTTTGGTGCATGCTTGCCTTCTGGTCTATCTCTGGTGGTTGCTTCTTTGGTCTTTGTCTGGTCTCTGGTGTCGTTGCTGCTGCTGTTAATAATATGGTCTTTCCTGGTCTACTGTCTTTGGTGCATGATTGTCTTCTGATTTATCTCTGGTGATTGCCTATCCTTTGGTCTATCTGTAGTTATGGTAAGTGGTAAGTATCATTTTTTCTTCTGGTCGCAATGATAAAAGACTTCTTTGAACGTTTGTATTATTGCTTCCTTTCTCATGATATTGCATTCATGATGTTTCCTTTGTTGCGCTTTGTTGCGTTTTCTTTTTCTTTTGCTGGTTGTGTTTCCTCTGTGGCTTCACATGAAACAACATTAGCCATATGTTGTATTGCAAACTTATAATACCACTGTTGCTTTTGCAGCTGTTGTGCGTGTTTGTGTTGCTTTACATCCGACTATTACTGCCATGCACGTTGCTCATGTATGCATTTTTGTTGCAACAACAACGAGCTCTTTTAAACATCTTTGATGTTGCATTTATGATATTCCTTTCTTTGATCCACTTTGTGTGAGTAATTTTTTTTTGTCTACATACTACTATACTCCTATAGTAATATGTTCTTTTCTTCTTTCGTTTATTATTATTATGTTTCTTTTGAAGCATACCTTTTTTTACGTTGTTGTGGATGTGCCTATCGCTGAAGCTCAACAAGACTTTATCCGAGGCTAGAAGGTAGATAGGCCGCCTCCACTTGATTATCGCTACTTACTTTAGTGATGATTGAGAGTCTCAATGCCAGAATTTAAAAGCTAGGTGGTGTAAGTAAGGCATGCTCTAGCACCTGGGGGAAATTTGATGATAGCATCTGCTATACTGCTGTATATCGGAGCTTAAAATTTTGCCTCACATCAAAACAGGGGGAAACCCTCGCAAAATTTTTTTTATGTCAGCGGAGTTTTCAAGCAATTTGATTGGCTGAGAGGTTGAAGCAACGAAGGTCTACAACTAGTTGATTTCCGCTTAATGTCATGTATTATAATTTTGTGTTTGTAAGAAAAATATATTCAAATATTGATAAAATTTAAACCCTTCTTTATTCAAAAGTAAGATAAGGTGCAATTACTGGATCTGGCATCTATCACACGGTTTTATGCGAGGGATATTCTTTAAATAAGTTCACTGCAGTATGTGAGGAAAGTTATATAGCTGCTGCAGTATACTAGGTACCAAGTATAATCCCAATGCCGTATGCCTTGCCAAACATACATCGTTTAAGATTGACTCCCAACATTCAATTTCATGAGCTGCTGTTGTGCTGGAGAGGTTACAAGTGTCTATAAGGTTTACGTTATTCTTGATGGGGGGTATGTGTAATACATCCACTATGATCTGCATTCCGACAGTTCATCCAGCTACCAGATTTAGATATAAACTGTATGTACACTGGATTAGATGCATGATATCGATGTATACTATAAAAAGATATGGACTTCAGATACTACGCTAGTACTATAAGATTCATACTATATAAGATATAGGCTATAGATGGCACCACGGACATGGATGGCGCTATAGACTTATACTTGTATTCCGACATTGACTACGGATGTTTACCATATCTGGATAGACATCAAGATTAATGCAATATGAGCTTGTTGCTTCAGATGTGCACTTTATGATCCACGCTACAAGACACATGCTTATATCCGTGATACTAGCTACAGATACTTTATGTACTATAGACTTGTACTATATATATGAGACATGCTATAGACATGCATACGATATGCTATAGACATGTCATATATCCAGATACATGCTAAAGATATATGCTCAGCGATATAAACTCAGATATGTTATATTGATACAGACTAAGGAGACTGTACCTATCGGATACATGCTACTAGATTGATATTAATTATTTTTATAGAAAGGATAGATCAGGGTACTTCGGATGAGAGTCTAATTATTCATCCAGACAAAAGCTAAATCATGATTAGCTTGCTGGAGTTGTCTTTTAGCACAATTAGACATTAGTTGATCTGAGTTGACTTATTTGTCAATCTAATTAATAGAACTTTTATCCATTGTTATAGTATATAAGAAGGATTATTTACCTGGCCAGTAGAGATACTTGAGTTTACTTTACACCTGTCAGTTTGATAATAAAAACATTCTTTTTTTCCGTGAATTTTAGTCTATCAAGCCTCAAATTCCACATGACCGATGCCCGTCTTCATATATAAGTTTTTTTTTTTTTTTTTTTTTTTTTTTTTTTCTTCAGAAAAATATATGTTGCTGAGCTTATATCCTAAATAGAAATTGTTTAGCAGTGATCCGGAAGATCCTATGCTCAATCCTCCGTAGTCTCAGAGCCAGACTCATTTTCCATCAATCAGGAATAACGTGGAACGTTAAAGAACCTTCTAACTGTTTAAGCGTCCTTTGGAGGAATATGGGTTTAGAGTTCCTATTTTTTTTATGAAGTTATACAATGGAATATGTATGTGGTCAAAATGAAGCATTTGTATAAGTTTTGAAGTTGGTTTTACTAATTTGTGCGCAAAGTCTCTTCGTTGAAAAGCAAATCAGATTTGCTTCTCTTATGTGAATCGATTTAAAGCTTAATGCTTCTTCTTAATAGCATCATTTCTTGTTATAAACGATCTTAATCTGAAACAGATTATCGTAATCAGAAGTGGACCCAGGAATAAGGTGTATCTCGTCAAAGCTTGATTTGGAACGTTTAGAAGATTTGTGTCATACAAGCACTTCAGGTTTTTGGGATTTCTGCTTATGAACCATATGGTTAAACGTTCTATGCCAAATACCTAATACAAATTGCTGCAAAGGGCAAAACAGCTTCGATTTTGTGTATTGGACCAATAATGTTCAAGAAGAGCCTGTTAGTGCATATGTTTGTTTTATCACATTGTCTTATCTGTATTATAAGACTAAACTTTGATAATCGGTGATACGACTCATAATACCTCGTTCTCTTTAACAACGCAGTAATGCCCAGCTTCCGTTGCTGTGGTGGTGGTCAGGTTCGAAATCATCAAGTAGTCACCAGCTCCGAATCTGGTCAATGAAAGCAGCCATGATTCATACAAAACCCGTACCTGAAATCGTAAAGATGTAGCATTAAAAGAATATGCCCATTGTTCTAAATGACTTAAAAAGCATTCTGTTTAAGCCCAGTAGTATTGAAGAAACTTGGCGGTTAACATTTGTTGATTGGCTATAAGAATAATATCTGATGAGGCAAGTCTTTGTGTGCGTACTGGCAGTAAATGATAAAATTAAATGTTCTCACTGTGATTTATACAATATGTATAGTCTTATATACGACATGTTTCTACGGTGGAATGACACTATCTAATATTTGGATATAAAAAGCAATTGTTATCAATGCAACCAAGATATACAGCATGATTCATGAAGAGAGACAGTGTTTATCAGCACGTGTCGCGTCTAGAATTGAAGCTTAAATAATTACTCGGAGGATTAGGCTTGCACATACTCTTCTATAAAAGGGAACAAGAAAGATAAGAATATTATTATCGCTCATTCCGAAAATGTCGTATTTAAAGGGGTACATAGCTACTACATGCGTTCAGTATCAGCATTTTATCTGATGTCCGAATAAACGTTTGATCTGTACAATGGAGTACTTTTTATGCGGCTGATTCACATTAGAAACAGACGATCACTATATAGGATGTCATAAATCCATAGTGTCCTGAATATTGTCTGCCCAAAATGACGTACAAATGGTTAATGTAAAGCTATCGGAAATGACCGGGTTACACTTCAGTTGACTGAAGCTTGGGATTCAAATATACAGGAGCCAACTATCAAGACGTTACTTGGAAAGAAGCTACTTTAACGCGGTAGCAATGGCCATGCCGTGTGAACATCTAGACGATTATATATATATATATATATATATATATATATTCAACTGGATGATTTCCTACTCTATATTCCCAATTCAGGTCCATTGAAATAGATAAGTAATACGGCTGTCTTCAGTCACATGCGATAACTGGCATAACTAGAATCAACAAAAAAGGTAATTTGCGATTGCCATTTTATTTGACCAGCGATCCAGCTTCAGCCAACTCTACTATGATAACTTATAAATGTACCATAAGAAGAGAGTGTAGCACACATAAGAAAAATGATCGTGTTTACAGCAATTAATTATCTCCTTTCTTTTCTCTCTTTCCAACTATTTCTATCCATACAAGTTTTTGTGAATTGGCAAAAACAAACCTTTTGATTTGTCTAACACATCCCACATCCCACATTCAATTGGAAAGGATCAGTACTACCAAGCAGCCTATGGGCATCATTTTCTTTCGTATCTATAGCCATTTAATCCCACCACCATGTCGTTGATCAGCAACAATAAAATCAAGAAGCCAACAATTATGGATCAGCTACTATCTGATTCCTTATTCCCACCCACTCGACCTCGTCCCCCTCCCAACAACAACAGTGGCATTCAAGCAACCGCAACAGCAATTGACAGAGAGCAGCAGTCAGAAGACGAAACCAAGAAAGATCCATTGGCAAGCAGAGTTTGGAGAATGTATACAAAAGCAAAGGATACGCTACCAAACGGATCCAGAATGGAAAACCTAACCTGGAGAATGATGGCAATGACATTGACCAAGAAGAAACTAGCTGAAGAAGAAGAAGCAGCATTAAAAGCAAAAAGAGAAGAAAAGGAGCAAGCTGAAGCCATGAATGTTGATCAACAAAACAACCCAACAACACCTCCTGTTGCTGATGACACTACCGGCTTATTATCTTCGTCCGCCCCACCTTACACAATGGTGGATTTCTTCAATACCAATCAACAACATCAACAACATTCTCATCAAGATGACTATGGCTCAATGCATGAAAACAAAACCAATGTGCTCATTACTGGAAGCACACGAGCGATAACTGGCAACTATAACGTCCCCAGGTTCATTGTAAGTCTGATTTCAATAGCCGCATTATGCATACTAAGAAGTTATCTATTGAATAGCCTGTCAAAAGAAGAGTGAATTACGATCAGAATAACAGCATCACTATACCGTCGCTGGATGAAGAAGTCGAGGAAGAAGATGATGACATGGATAGCACGACTAAACAAGATGTTGTGGATCCTTATTCATTAGACGAAGAAGACTTCAATGCATTTACTGGTAATAATGGCCAGGCAGCCCCCACATCGCAGCCTTATTTCAATAGTGTTCTAAACGAAGGAAGCTACGCATTCAACACCAATAAGCCCTCATTACTTCAGCATCAGACTAGCCAGTATTCGCCAACAACCCCTCCGGTCGCATCTAGCTCATTCTACTTTGATTCATCTGCTCAAAATGCATTACTGCCTATGCAGTCTCCATCACTCGCATCTCTACAACATCAGCAACAGCAACATCAGCAGCAGCAATCACTCAGCACAAATGCCGGAAGCTTAAGCTTTGAAGACATCTTGAACGTTTATTACAGCCAGCCCAATGTACAAACGCCGGATGCTTTTGATACGTCGTCTACAGCTGGTATCCTGCATTTGCAGTCTGTTCATCTTTCGTCGTCCGTAACAGGAGGCTCAACTTCAGCATCTCCTCCACCATCTGTATCGTCGCCACACTCCATGTCAAGTTCAGAATATCATAGTCTCGAGGATGAAGACTTGGATGAGGACGACAGTAAAAGATTCACTAGCAGGTACAAGAAACCCAAGTCGATTAGTGGAATTCGCCAGCAACAGCAGCAAGCGTCCAGCAATAGCAAATCTGGCCATGTTGCAGCTAAAACGCAATGCTCCAATTGTCAGACTACAACAACACCACTTTGGCGTCGTGATCCTGAAGGTCATCCACTCTGTAATGCATGTGGACTATTTCTTAAATTGCACGGTGCAGTAAGACCCCTTAGTCTCAAAACAGATATCATTAAAAAGCGCAATCGTGGCAGTGCCAGTGGAGCAAGCAGTAGCAACAATGGTGGTACAGCATCGAGTAGCAATACAACTAGTAAATCAAACCATAAGTCAATCAAGATGTATGGCAAAAGGCATCAGCAGGCGGTGGACGCTAGAAAAGAGGAAAGTAGCATCAATAAATCCTTGTTAGATCGAAGAAACACGGTTCACATTGCACCCCATCAATCCAATGCCGGTAATCACAGGCCAATGCTACCAGCAAAACCTATCAGTCTAACAGCAAAGAGACAGAGATGCACGTCAGATAGGTTACCTTTTAGCAACAATCATCTGTTATCGTCACCACCCACACCAGTAAGCAATAACTTCCCTCTTCAGCAGCAGCAGCAGCAGCAGCAAATCTCTCCTATTGCTACACCTCTGACATACACATCTTCCCCGCCACCCACAGCGCAGATACCCACGGCTGTTCCATTGACGCAATCGATAGCAACTACACCCACAACCGAATCGCCCGCCAATCTACCTGCTGCGTCTGCAACCAATGCAGCGGTTTATGCTATACTGGAGTCCATTGGTATACATCTAAATAGCTTACCTGTTGAATTATTGCCATTGATTGCTTCAGCAGCCAACTATCATGCGGCCAACAAACAGCGGATACAAGAGCAAGAGCAAAAAGCAAATGTACCATCATTGTTAAGCAATGTTTTATATCAGCAACAACAGCAACAACAGCAACAAGACGGGCTGTCATCATCGGCATCATTATCGTCAAGTAGTCAAAATTTTTCTCAGTTTGCACAACAGTTTCCGCAATTGCAACAGTTGCAACAGCAACAGCAACAACAACAACAACAACAACAGCAACAGCAACAAAAACAACAACGTGATTCCTTAAACAATCAGCATTCACCCTGAAGCTAACCTTTACTCTATGACTCTAAATACCTATGCCATTTCTTTTTTTTTTTTTCTGCCCATGTTATGTACATGTCTTATATTCTCTACATGCCCCTTTTCTCAATTTACTAATTCTCTGCCTATTGTCTCATATCATGAATAAATCAACAACATTTCTCGATTATTGTAAATATTTAAGACTCCTGTCTCGAGTTTCATTTTTGTAAATTGACAGAAAAAGGCAAAAAATTCCCTTTAAAACAACTGGTTCATCTCAGACATGAAAAAGGGGGAAAACTTTGTCAATACAAGGGGATTTGATAGTGTTTGAGATAGGTAACAAACAAATGCCAGCGTTTTGTTGGTGTAGTACGCACGCACTCTGTTTGTAGCAGTCTGTGTATTGTATAAATCAAAAAGATACAAGGATTTAACCTGGCTTCATTGGATTTTGAGTCATGACGCATGGTACATTGGACGAACCATTCAACGGTGGATCACGCAATTGGAACTCAATTCCGAGCAATTTTCTACCATATATAAATATGAGCATCATTGCAACATCCCTAATCTCATTTTTATCTTTTTTTTTTTTTTTTTTTTTTTCTTCTTACTTGCTCGCATAAAATGATCCAGAAAGATGCCTACGGCTCAATTGAAAATGTGTCACTCACACAGGATGATGCCGATCTATTACAAGCCAGCAAACCTGGGTACGGCACAAGATCTGTTCTCGAAGTATCACTCAATATTGTAAATGCCACTGTGGGCTCTGGTGTTATCGGTTTGCCGTTTGCGTTGTTATTGGCTGGTTTTACAACAGGTATCGCAATCTCAGTTTTTGTCAGCATCTTGACCTTCTTCGCCATCTACTCCCTGATCTTGTCTGGTCAAAAGAGCCAAGTCTATGATTTTGCATCCCTGGCTAAACTATCCATGGGTCAGTTCGGATTCCACATGCTTAACCTGATGTTGTTTATCCAGAGCGCTGGCAGTGTGATTAGTTACTTTATTTGTGAGTGTTTCTACAACGTATTTAATGGAGATTTAAATTTCTACATGTTACATATATTAATACATCCTGATCCGTAGTGGTTGCTGATACTATCCCTGTGCTCTTGGGCTTGTATTTTCCTGAATATCCCTTGTTGGCCGATAGGCAGTTGATAACAATCCTTGTGTCCGTGTTTGTTGTAAGTAATTTTTATCGGCAGAAGCATTTCGAATAATTGTTTAACCATTCTGTATAAATAGATTTTCCCTCTCAACTTATTTAGGTCTATCGGAGCTCTCGCAAGATGGTCCGCCTTCTCAGTCTTGCTGTTGCCTGTCATGATCCTGACTGTGCTGATTAGAGCACCTGTGTACGCAAAAGACCACGAAGCCCCCGTCTTATCGGTCGGTAGAGATCCTGTTGCTGCCATGGGTATCATGTCATTTGCCTTTGTTTGCTCCCAAGTCGCATTCTCCAACTACTTGTCTCAAAAGAATCAATCACTACCATCATGGAAGTATTCATCAATTCTATCCTCGTTCATGAGTTGGGGCATTTCAATTTCATTTGCAGCCATCGGTTACCTCAGTTTTGGTCAAGATGTTACATCAAACATTTTCAGCAATTTCCCTGCTGACGATAATGTGATTAATGTTGGTAGATTGGCTCTAGGCCTTTCTATGGTGTTGACAGTGCCAATGGCATTTTACCCTGCAAGAGATGCTGTGCAAAAGACTATTGGATTTGAAACTGAAGATCGTCAGCCAAGTGCATTACAACATTATAGCGTCACTGTGGTACTATTCACACTCTTCTTGATTGCTGGTGTCAATATTCATTCACTTGGCAAAGTGTATTCTGTTGTTGGTGGTATCGCTTCCTCCTTCTTGGCTTATATTATTCCTGCATTTGCTTATATTGCCGTTTTCCACCCCAATTGGATCAGAAGAACTGAACACGAGTCTGTGCCGCTCGTACCTGCTGCAACAACTGATTTAAAGATTTTCGCAAAGCCAACTTGGTGGTTGGATATTGCTTGTATTGTTCTCTTGGTCTTTGGCCTCTTTGTGATGACTTATACTGCAGTACATGCCTTCAATTAGAATTACATTTACCCCATCAGATTACCCCTTACATTTTTTATATATCGCATTCTCTCTCAGATACCCATTTTCTATAATAAAGAAATTAATTCTTCATACGAAATTTGCCATAATACCGAAAGATTGCAGAATCTCATTGTGCACAGGGCCTAACTTGATTTAGACGAGAGCAGTAAAATCAAGATTCATACATTTGATGTGCTAGTAACAATGGCTACGCATACTTTTTTTGGCTAGGAGTGCTGATCAGTAACATATTAGAGGATATTGCGTATACACGGAGAAATAAGGAAGATTACAGCGTACCGTCGAGGTTTATTCGACATATAACCGTGTACTAGGATCAGTGATACTATTTTTATTGTCGTCAAAAATACGGTGGGCTTATCAGACCACTATTTCTGTCTGGACATTTGAAATTGTACTTCTTGACCTTTCACTGCGCGATCGAAATGACCTGGTGAACTGTGATTAGAGCCTTCTATGATGCTCTACGTCCGCATCGAAGGGTTCGATTCATATATGGGCAGATAACATCCTTGCTGTATCTCTTATTACAGTCGACGAAACTAGGTTAGGTCAACTAAAAAAAAAAAAAAAATTGATCATTTCCAAATTGAGTTGGGACACGATTACAAAAATGGGACACAAAAGGGAAAATAGGACACAGAAGGGAAAATGTTACAGCAATAGAAAAACAGGACACAGATGCAAAAATAGGGCATATTGAGCGTTAGTATATATCAACTCTCTATTGGTCATGTATTTATATACTCTCTTACCTGTAGTAATCTTTAAGTTTTTTGTCCAAAGACGCAAAACAACCACGTTCTATGTGGCGCGTTGTCGATTTTGACGTGTAAAAATTGTTGGTCGGTCCATACCAGCCCAGATTTGACATGCGATGAACATCATATTTTTTGCAGCGAGGACATCTCTGTTCCAGAATATATTACAATCGATGCAGATCAATATATTAAAGAAAGATTTGTCTTCAACTCTATGATTTCTAAGATGCATTTCTTTGCAATTTGGACAAACCTATTTTATAGAAGCATAATTAGTTGACTTAATAAGCGTTTATTTGTATTGTAACGACTTACAGAAGAGGTCCGGAATTCATCTATATCAAGCAAAAGAACCTCGCCAAGACTTTGTCTTCTTTTCAAATTCTTGTAGATGATATCAGAAACGCCAACTCGTCGTCCTCCATATTTTACATGGCTTCTCCCTTTTACGCCATCACCAAAAACGACTAAAGGCATCTTTGCCGTGTCCCCTTCATTAAAGCGGCTTTTGTGATTAGTTCTTCTAAAATAATGTGGTTGTTAGTAAGATGATCTTATAAACTTGGAAAACAGCTTATTACCTTATTTTTATAGAAGGGTTACGCCTATTAGAACTTCTTCGCTCGGCCATCTTTTTCCTCTTCCTTCTATTCGAACCAGTCTTCTTTCTTCTGTTGCAATTGTATTTTTTTCCGCCATTAATCAGAATATTGCAAGCTTCTTCGAGGGCACACTATCTCCCATAGTAATTACTTCATTTGCTTGAAGCTGTCCGGAAGTCATAGAAGCCATAGAAACGACCCAAATGAGTCAGTACATATACTATATGGTTGATATAGGAATCACCAGAAGCAGTTTTAGTCGTCGGGATTTGAGTCTCCAGATCTTTTATGCCTTGTTCGATTTTTAAAGCGTCTTGTTTTCTTGCTCGATTTATAGATCCAGAAGAGCAGTAGTATTCATTCACTGTCAGAGACCTGACCTGTTCATCTCCATGATATGCTACATATGCATTCTTACGGCCGGGATCCAGAAAACAAGAACGGAAAAAGTTTTCAACTTCGTCTGTGTTGAAATCAGCCATTTCAAGATTTACTTTGTCTTCATCAAGAACTTCTGGGACTCTCCTTGCGAAAGAAATTCTACAGGTATACCCATCAGTGTATATACTGTTTAAAAACACACGCCCTTTCTGTCTGGGTAACTCTTGTAATTCTGCCAAACTATTGCAATAAAAATTAATAATAGCCTTAATTGGGGGGGGGGGGTTTCAAGACACACCTTCTAATTTTCAGCTTGGTAAAATCAAAAGAATTGAAAAAGCAGCGTGTACTGAAGGCAAAATTTGCTTCGTTTTCTTCTTTTTGGAGCCGTGTATCAGGAAAAAGAGTTGACAAATTTTGACCATCGACCTTTATGAATCGCCATTTAAAGCTAGGGCTTGGAAAAAGAGAAAACAGGCGAGGCCTCCTGGGCTGTCGTATTTGTGCTGGCTGAGGACGGACCAACTCACCCGTTTGAGCTGGTGGTTGTTGTGGTTGTTGTTGTGGTGGTTGTTCTGTTGTTGCTGGTTGTGCATTCTCCTGCAATTGTATGTTGACCTGCTCGTAAAACTGGAGAATGTAACTCATTACTGATAGAACAACGAACGGGTTATTGGTCACTTCTTTTCTTGAAAGTGGGAGTCGATGTACTCTGTTTCTAACTGATTGGGTGATATTGTTTAAAAATGCTTGTAGATTTGGTGCACTGTCAAGGACATCTTGTGTAATAAAATCTTCTGGCATATTTGATCTTGTGTCGTTCTCTAAGACTTCATCTAGGGCATAACCATATACAATCTTATTGACCAGTGGCATTTTAAGTTCCTTATAAATAGAATACATGAGTAAAATATTTATATAAACTAGTGTCCTTGTAAATACTTACAGTATACTCCTGCTTCAGTCTGTATATAAATAGTTTCCAATATACGTTTCATAGTTTTCAACGTAAAAGCTGTTGTAGACAGTAGCTATAGTATCACAAGCAGACGAAACAATTTGGCCATATCCTACTAGACCCTGGTTTTCAACTGAAAGATCGACATTGTCTAACGCTTGTAAACGGTTATAGGCTGCTTGAATGCCAGGAAGTCTTGGATAAAAGTTTTGTAGTGCTTCAATGTTGATATTCCCATAGATTAATCTATAAACTCTGTACCAGAAGTTTTTTTCAAATGTATCATTTAATAGATACTCGACATTGTTGTTTGCATTACTAGATATATAATAATTAAGTAGAAGCTGTGCTTTGTAAACAACCTCTCGTAAAAATGAAGATTGTGCAGTTATTCTCTCTTGATATCCTAATAGTTTGTTTGGATTCCCTTCATCTTGCCTAATGAATGATTTGAGCATCAGAGATACGGTATACAATTGATAAGAAGTAGGGAAAGTCATAAGCAGTCTTTCTTTGATAGTATATTCATGGTTGGGACATAAACGAGAGGCAGCAGTAGTATGACCAGGTTGGCCACAGGACTTGCAAACAGGTCCAGATGATGAAGAAGCCTGTTCTGTTCTTCTTGTTTTTCTGGCATCCGCCTTGCCTTGTTTCTCCTCTGGTGTATCTTTTTTTCTTTTACCTGAATCAACATAGCAGTTATATAACGTTATAAATGTAATTAATAAAATTCACAGAAACTATTGTAGTTCAATGCTACCTCATCTTCTACTACTAGATTGTCTTTCCTCTTCAACATGTGCTTGAAACTTCAGTTGTTTTTTATTTCGAATTAGTTCTTCTGTTTTAGGATATATAATAGGACGCATTAAGATATTTAGGTAAGAAAAAGAAAGGAAACACTAACTGGCCATATTGCAAGTTTATCTTTTATAATGAGTTTCATCAGTTTTGATGATTTTATGATTGATTTTGGATGATTTTTTTAGCTAATAAAATGTACAAAGCAAAAACTCAAGGCGAACAAAATGACTAACGAGGGATGATGACTGAAAAAAAAATATCAATATTTATATGTGCAAACTATCGATCGCATAGCCTTTTTCTTACTTTTATACTGTTTTTAGTTTTTCTGTTGTATAATATATATATGTACAGCCAAGCCCTACCACTACATCGCATTATCAAACAATCAAAACTGTTGAAGATCTTAATATCTAAATATGGTTATGATCATTTACCTCCAGAAGCCAGAGATGGAATAGCAATGTTTATAAATGCTAGAGCTTTTTAAATCATGATAAATACAAGCTTACAAATACTCTGAAAGTACTCACTTATTATCTTTGTTACCGATTTTTTACTTCATTCTTACAGATCCGCAAATTTTCGGCCATGTTGTGTTGCTGTAAGTCTTATATTTCCAGCTAACAGCTAAAAGACGCAGGCAGTATGCTGTTCTACAAGTACTTTTCTTAAGCCTTTGGATGTTTTTTAGACATAATAGTATACCTTATTGATGTTGTTTTACGGCTTATTTCATGTTTGGTCTTGCATGTAGCTGTTGATTTAGAAAGTAGTAATTTACTGACTGCTTCACGAATTTGCATACCTTCATAATCTTGCTTTAAGTCGATCAAACTTAAAGCTGCATTTTTTTTCTTTGAAATGAAAGTTGCAAGGTCCTCTTTGTCTTGTAGTAAACAAAGGATATTGTTTAAAGCGAACCGTTTTTTTTTCTTTGCCAACTTGTCTCTGGCATTCGCTTGTGCAGGCTTTTCTCAATTCATATGGACAGCATTGAATCATCAATGATACTGTCTGTTCATCAAGATTAGTTTCGCTATTTACAATAGTAAATCTTCAAAGAAGTAGAGAAAAGAAATAGCAACAGATGCTTCAAGAAGAGTCTTCATTAGAATAGCAAAAAACAAATTTCAGGTTTCCCATATTCCCTTCTGTGTCCTATATTCCCTTTTGTGTCCCAACTCAATTTGGAAATGATCAAAGTTTTTAGTTGATCCAACCTAGTTTCGTCGACTATAAGCAAAAGTATACAAAACACAGCGAAACCTGGGTGCATTTGATTCGTAATTTCTCATGTTAGAAGCCATTTCAGATTACCAGAGTGGTACCAAACAACTGCATTCGTGTAGCATTTGCTTCTTGACACCTTTGCTCAACTTTTTGGGCCAAAAAAAACATGGCCAAAAATCGACCAAAAATCATGAGAGGCACCTCATGGAAATCTTCTAAAATCAAATAATTGTGTTTTTCACCTCCAAAATGAAGACTTTTATTATGGGATATATTATATCAAAATACTTCTGTCAAACTAACGCAGCCCTTGAATCACTTTTGTGAGACCTTCATAAACAAGTTTTCGACTTTTTGGCCAAAAACCTCATTTCACATTTTTTAAAATTGCTCAACAAGTTCATTCAAAACATATAATTTAATTAGCACTATTGTATGCGTCTTGAAAAGTACTCCAGGAAAGTATAAGGGAGTATTTTTTTTTTTTTTTTTGTAGGGGAGTCGAGCTCCAGGTTTTATTTAAAGTCCTTTAAATGTCATACTGAGGGATAGAAAAGACTGTTGGTGGACCCAATGTCTGCAAAGAAGGGGAATAAGATATTTTTGAATTAAGTTGGGAAAGAAATCTACTACTAATAAGGTGCGACACCTAGAGCCAAAACAGTCTTGCGGAAATCGTCAAAATATAGATAATGGATAGAGTACAAAACACCAAACGAGGACATCAGTACTACTTCAAAAAATCAAACAACTTGCGTTCACCAGGATTTGAACCAGGATCCTCCCGTTGGCATACGGGAGTTTCTACCACTTCGCCCTACCACCAGGGACAGTATAAGGGAGTATGGGTTGATCATCACGTTCTATATAGTCGAATTCTGCAAAATAGATCGAAGAAGTCGAAATTAACCAGACCTTGACCAATCTTGAACCAAAATTTTTTGCCTGAGTTTGAATATTTTGACAGATAAAATCAACAATAGCTCTCTTACCTTGGGCAGCCCCCCACAACATCCGCCCACTCATTCGCCGTCTTATCAAACCTATAACACCACTACCTCCAACAGTGCCACTCAACAGTATTCAATACTACAAACACCTGGTTTCCACGGAAATGCCCACCATCAACACCTCACCTCTTTCCCCATCCCAATGGCGCCTCTTTTGGAAACTACCTATTCTCCTTCAATCCCGAACTGTATGGTATAGACTTATCCATAGAAAAATTCCCTCCAAATCGACCCTCCACCGCTTCATCCCCACAACTCACCCTTCACCTTCGTGTCCTCTCTGTTTGACCCAGAGCCCGGAGGATATCCAACATTTCTTCTTTACTTGTCCTCTCAAACTCGCTGTATGGCGGTTCCTTGCCACTACATACCTATCCCACACACCGATGACCGACGACGTCCTTCTCCCATTCCTCCACGGCATTCAAACTCTATCCATAGCTGAACCCACTCGCTCTGCCTCCTTACCTTTTCCAGAGCTTACCGTTTACCAAGTTTTCGCTACCAGTCTACTCTGTATATGGCAAGCCCACTGGCACTCCATCTTCGACCATGTCCCTTTTGTCACCCTCAACGTTAACACATCTATTGCCCGTTCTCTGTCTCGATTGGAATCGGAATTACAGTTTGATTTGTAAGTATGTACCCCCACGTATTTTATGGTCGTATTCCACTTCCTTGCTTCCCTTTTTCATTTCCTTGCCTTTAAAAATATATCCAGTCTTCTTCTTCCCTCATCATGACATTTAGAGGACTTTAAATAAAAAATGGAGTACAACTCCCCTACAAAAAAAAAAATACCTTGGGCAGCGACACTTTTGAAGTTAATAAGAAGGGGATGGCGGATCAAAAAGTATTATTGCTTAGTTTGACTATCATATTTTGCTTGTTTTATGTATTTTTACGCCTGATAGGTTTCGTCGTTGCAAATTGCCCATTCACAGGCAAATTTTAATTGGGCATGCCGTTGTCTCATCAAATGCAAAATTTTACGCAACAGCTCTTCAACTGGATTCATCTTTTGAAGATGAAGGATATTCCGTGTCAAAGTAGTTTCTAATTTGATGTCAAATCAGCCAACTTTGACGTCTTTGGATACATTACATTACATCCAGAAAACGTATGTAGAATCATGGGCATTTGAGGCCAAGATGGTAGCGTGAAGGCTATGGAAGGTAAAACAGATAGCTCATCTACATAGCGTATTGAACGCTACAACGGCAAATTCTCTCAAAAATTGGCCGAATTGATTGCCATGTTAATCTCAATGGTCAATAGCCCTGATAGTTTGCCACTCATGCTTGCGGGCTTGTCTAATGTAATTGCTTGTCGCATGGATCATCTTGATTCCTTCCGGCTATTGATCGTACCGAGTGACCACATTTGCCTAGTGGCAATAACTGTTTAAATTAGCGTTTGATCCAAGCATTGCACACAGGAATTGCCATTCAATGTCTACAAAAGTTTTGGTTGTCATGCTGATCCTTTCACATCAATAGCGAGTTAAATTAAATAGCAGACTAGATCATCATTGGACGTCTGTTTGTGTCCCTCGAAAGTCTACTACTGCCACCAAGTATATTTCAAGTAGGCAGAAGGGAATAATAGCCATTTTTCCACGTGAAAATGTATAAACAATTCCAATCTCTTTTTCCCTAGACTCAACTTCCGCTTCTTTTTCTTTTCTCTTTAGTTTCGCTTGTATTAATACTATCCAAAAATGCCTTCAGCAGCAATAAAATACCACAATTTCACAGAAAAAAATTTCCAGGGCCTAGTCTATTGTGATTATTGTGAAAAACTGTTGTGGGGATTAGCAAGACAAGGGTTGCAATGTACCGGTAATGCATCAAAACACCACGCACGCGCAATTCAACTTCTAATGTAACATGAATCTAGAATGCGGCTATAATTGCCATACTGCTTGCAGTGATATGGTTATTCAATGTAGGCCTCCTCGACGCTGGAGTCCCGATTCTCTATCAGTGACAGACTCGGAAGCAGAATCAGTATCAAAATACTCTCTCCACTCACACACCAACAGAAACTCGCTGAACAATAATACAGATGATAATAACAGCAATACCAGCAGTCGAAAGCATAGAACATTATCCTCAGACATCTTACCACCTCCAAATAGTCTAACCCGTAGTTTATCGTCTTCGAAAATCGAAGAGCCTCTTAAATCACCCACATTTTCAGGAACGACATACAATGGCACAAGCAACGATCCGTTATCCGGAAGTCAACGAAGCAAAGCGACGCTGAACAAGTCCTACCGCAAATCCATCAAGCAGCAATTACAAAAGCAACAGCTACAAAAGAACAGCGATGTCGATTTGCTGAGCCCACACGCAACAGCAAAAGCATTTACCAGATTAGTTGCTAGATCAAAAGCATTCTTTTACATTGGAAAATCAATACATGATGTATATAGCTGGAAGAACAAGACGCATTCTACACTAGTCAGCTTATTCTGGATATGCTCATGTATGGATTGAAGTGTGATATATCCTTAATAATTACTTATACGGTTGTATATAGGTTTAAACTCAAAGACCGTGTTACTCATTCCACCCCTGCTGATCTGGCTGCTACATAGCCAAACAGGCGTTGTGAACTCACAGCAGACTGCTGCTCAAGTCTTGTTCCCTCGTTTCGATGAGAGTACGCCAGAATATTATACCAACTTGGAAAGCATGCAGTATGCCTTTATCTTTTTCATTCGACTCTACGACAATTTTGCATACCACTTACAGCACATCCATCTAAATGCAACGACATACAAAGTGTTGCTCGTCTCAAGCATCTGCATCTCTGTTATTTTTGCTTACATGGGTAAATGGTTAGTGATGGTGGCTGGATTGATGGTCTTGTTGAACAAGACCTGGCTCGGTACCTTCATCGAAGCTATATTGCAGTTCTTGCTGGAGGTTGTACAAACGGCAGTGGATATCATCCAGAAATTCAAATCTTCTAAAAAGACAGCAGTGGAGAGGAAGCCTATCCAGGTATCAGTGTATGAAAATCAGAGATGGTGGGCAGGAACAGGATACACGTCTCAGGTAACTAGAACAGCAAAAGTAGCTGGCATCTGTCACTCATGATATTGCATGCCTCTCTAGCTGCTACGATCAGAAAGATCAGCCTGGTCCAACATTACAGGCTTGGAACCTCTGCCACCCAAGGAAGACATGCCCCCGCCGGCACATTATGCATGGGCTGATGATGATCCTGAATGGCATCTCGATACAACTGGCCCCTGGACAGATGATGCACTTGAAATAGGTAACATATGGGTAGCTGTTTAAGTTCATGTGTATATAAAGTCTCACGCATCCTCTATTTTTTTTTTTTCTCTTTTGTAGTGGTAATTATCTTTTTGCATGTGTAACTATGTGGTTTATTAATTTTCCTTCTAGACTTTGATTGAATGTGATGAAAATGGTTGGGTTTATACAGACCATCGCTGGATAAACCCTCGAGGCAGGCCCGAGATGACAAAAGGAAGAGCTGCTGTGATTGCAAACGGCCATAACAATGAAACCTCGAAAGCTTTGACCAGAAGAAGAAGATGGTATAGACAGGCAGTTCCTCTTGAGGTGGATCCAGCAGATAAGAAGTCTGTTTAACAGAGCACCTTGCTGGTCTTCAATCATAAATAAAAAAAAAGCCATTCATTTAGTAGCTCTCCCTTTCTTGCTTCTTTTGTTGTCGTTAGCATCACTCTCTTTCATGGCCACCAACACACTTCCTTTACATAATGACAAAGGGAGGGGCTACTCATCATCCATGGGTTCCCCCGCCATGTCTCGCACAGTCAAACGCTTTGCGGTCTTCTGTATCGTATTATTCATCGTTGTCTACTCGTTTTCTACAACCACAACCACACAAAATGAATCCATGATTTCGCCCAAATCGACACAGTACAATATCAATCCTCTCTATTGGGCACCCACACTATCCGAAAGGATTGGAAAAAGCGCTTTTCCCAAGAGCTTCTTCACGACACAAGCATTAAGAGAAAACGAATTCAATCCAGTATCTGCAGTTATCCTCAGAGTTACAGATGACGATCAAAGCATAGAGTACGCTGTAAAGAACCTGATTAAATATCCTTTCATCAGCGATATCTACATTCACAACCTTATCAAAAAGAGGCCACTGACAGTAGAGGTAAGCTGTTATACATACCACGCTCCAATACCCTCATGTGCGCTAAATCACCTCCAAGAGCCTGAAATTAGATCCCAAACTAAGAGACAGTATCAGTATAGAGATAATGGAATCAGATGAAGATTTAGGCAGCATGGCTCGATTCACTACTTGCGCCACTGCCTCTAGATTATATTGTTACTTCCAGGACGATGCTTATTTGAACACTTACATGGATACCTTATATACCAACTTTTTGCGATTCCCTACTCTGATTCACGCCAATGCAAAACCATCGCACTACGAGACCCAAATGAAATGGAGATTTAGCAACAAGGAGCTGAAACTGCATACAGGGTATGCTGATTTCAGATATGGCGCTTTTGTGCCCCGATGGAAGGTGCAAAGTTTCTTGACTCAATTGGGCAAATCTGGCCTCATAAAGGATAGCATTCGCCAAGCTGAATACTATTTTGCCATCTGGATGAACCAATACCCTTGGTTACTCAGCAATCCTCCTCATACTGCCAAAGGTGACAAGGCTACAGACAGGGATATTGCGTATCCAGAAACTTTGGATAGCTATACAGTAAGTGATTGTGTCAAGAATGCGATCTACATCAAGACTCATTGAATGCCAAGTATGATGCCATCCGCCATTTGCAAAGATCGTTGACTTTGGATCAATCAGAAGCACCACAAGACTATTTTGAGAGGCAAGAGGAGGAGCCATCTCTGGAGCATCGTGATGTCCGTTCTTCTTGCGCCAATGATCGATGTCTGTTCATGACCAACATGGATCCTTTTGTCCAGCCCTCGCAAGTAACATTCGACTATCAAAATATCACCTCTATTCCCAAATTAGAGAATATTTATGAAAGCATGTCTATTGTCTCGCCTGCAGTGGAGTGGGATGAGCACTCGTATCATAGAGTAGTTGACAATGATCCCAACACTTGCTGGAACACCATCAAAAGTAAGTGTATCGCTGTGAAATAGGTAGTCTTGATAAGCTAAGTGTACATTGCCAGATCCAAAGCAGGGCGATTATTTTGGTTTGATTTTGGTGGGCACATCAAAGACCTCCAACCTCGTTATCCACACACCACAAGTAATGAACCATCCCGAAAAACAGCTGTCCATCTCAGTCTTGGAAAGTGGTGATAGCTGGATCAAATGTAAGGCCGTCGATAAATCTACACCGGAGAGCAACCGCATCACGCTTGGTATCAGCTGCCCCAATATCAAGCTATTCAGAGCCATCAAAATCATGTTTAGAAAGGATCAGAGCGAGCCTTTTGAAATCTGTGGTCTTTCCATTGATAGTTTGTCTGTATGATTGAATCCAATAAAAAATAGACATTGAAAGCCAAAAGTGTCATCGATCTGAATAGTAGACCTGCTTCATTACATGCGCCTTGTAAGGTCAGGGCCGTCTAAAACTGATATCGGTTTGACAACTCAATAGGAATGGAGCAACGAAGAAAAATATTGATTTCTTACGTAATAACAGATGTGTTGTATGCCTTTCATTTTTGTAGCTGAGACAAATGCAAGGCAAACGAAAGATTGCTGGCAAGGGCCATTGGCTATCTTGCCTCATTTTAGTGAATTCCAGATTCTGTTACACATGATGTGAGCTTGACAAAATGATGAAAGCATTATCAAGCAATGACCAAGCTAAAAGTATGGCATTTAGATCACACAATCGGACAAGGCTCCTGTTGTGCAGCCATTTCAGCCCGAAGCTAATTTTAATTACTAATCCATCAGAGCGTAGTGCCTCCCCTTTAAAACACACATGTAAAGCGTTAAATATTCATGCCGCGGTATCCTGTTGGGTATTACAAACATGATTCTTCTCATTTTGGTGGGACGAAATGAAGATGCCTTGCAAGGTGACTCAAGCTTGCGACAACAAAGCCAGGAAACAGAGATTACATGATTAATCATTGAATTTATTAAATTCTTTTTATATTACACTCATGAAATGAGACACACTATTCATGGAGAATAGTAAAAAAAAGGGGGGGGGGATGGAATGAAAAATGGGATTATGAAATTATACACATGTCAACTTAGAGTTGAGCATTGACTTCAGGAACGTAACCAAGCTTGGCAAAGTGAGCAATGACAGACTCTGCCTTGGCAACAGCGTTTTCAGCAGTGATGTCAAAGTGAGGATACAACTTGTCAATAGGACCAGAGGCACCGAAAGTGCGCATACCAATTTGACAGTGAGAGTAACGTTCCCAACCGAATGTACCAAGAGCTTCAATGGCAATAACGGGAACACCGAGAGGGAAGATCTCCTTCTTGTATTCAGCAGATTGTTCATCAAAGAGTTCAGAACAAGGCATTGAGACAACTTGAACAGCAATGTTCTTGTGCTTCAAAGTCTTGGCAGCTTCAACAGCGATAGAGACTTCAGAACCAGTAGCAACAAAGACGATTTGAGGGTTCTTGTCAGAAGAGAGAACATAAGCACCCTTGAGGACGGCTTCGATGGAAGAGCCTTCCAGTTGAGGCAAGTTTTGACGAGAGAGAGCAATGACGGAGGGACGAGTGAGGTTTTGGATGGCGGCCAAGTAAGTACCAGAGGTCTCATTACCATCAGCAGGACGGAAAGTGAGCATGTTGGGAGTGGCACGAGTCAAGGCCAAAGTCTCAATAGGTTGATGGGTAGGTCCATCCTCACCGAGACCAATGGAATCGTGAGTCATGACAAAGATGACACGCATATGGCCCAAGGCAGCGAGACGAGCAGCACCCCAACCGTAGGTCAAGAAGTTCAAGAAGGTACCACCGTAAGGGACAATACCGCCATAAGCAGACATACCGTTCATCATGGCAAACATGGCATGTTCACGGATACCGTAACGGAAGTAACGACCCGAGTAATCACCAAGACCGTTGGAAGCAGGTTGGAAATCAACAGCATTCTTCCAACGAGTCAAGTTGGAGCCAGTCAAATCAGCAGAACCACCCAAGAGTTCGGGGAGTTCAGCCTCAATGGCAGACAAGACACCTTCAGATAACTTACGAGTAGCGACAGCAGGGTCAGAAGGTGTGAAGCGGGGAAGAACCTTCTCCCAGCCAGTAGGCAAAACGTTGGAGAAACGACGTTCAATCTCGGCAGCTTCCTTGGGGTACTTTTCCTTGTAGGAAGCAAAGAGTTGGTTCCACTTTTCTTCGTATTCAGCGCCTTCTTGGGCACGCTTGTGGTACAAATCGTAGACATCTTGAGCAACAACAAAGGTTTCTTCAGGGTTGAAACCAAACTTCTCCTTCAATTGCTTGATATCATCGTCTATGAAGAAAATGCGCGGTTAGGTAAACCCAATTATATCAGAGACTCAAGCACACTTACTGGAGAGGGGAGCACCGTGAACCTTCTCCTCACCTTGCATCAAGGAACCATAACCTAAACATAGAAAAAGAGAGTCAATATTTGCATAAAAGATGGTGTGACACATCAAAGGTTGAGGGGCCAACACGCACACGATGATGGGAATAAATTGAATACATACCAATAGTAGTTCTAACCTTGATAATAGATGGCTTATCAGTGACCTTTTGAGCGGCCTTGATAGCCTCTTCGATGGAAGCATAGTCGCTATCACCGTTGCCAACAGTTTGGACGTGCCAGTCGTAAGCTTCGAAACGCTTAAGGACGTCTTCAGTGAAGGAGACAGCAGTGTCACCATCGATGGTGATGTGGTTGTCATCATAGAAGGCAATGAGCTTACCAAGCTTCAAGTGACCAGCAAGAGAACAGGCCTCGGAGGCAACACCTTCTTGAAGACAACCATCACCGAGAATGACATAGGTGTAGTTGTTGAAGATCTCGAAACCAGGCTTGTTGTAAGTGGCAGCGAGTTGAGCTTCAGCAGCAGCCAAACCAACGGCATTGGAGATACCTTGACCTAGAGGACCCGTAGTGACCTCAACACCCTCAGTATCAATACGTTCAGGATGACCAGGTGTCCTTTCATTAGGCGTTAGTATATGACGTATCCGTGATTTCAAAAAATCCAACGCGTATGATTTTTCTTATCTTCCAACTTACTTTGAGCCCAATTGACGGAAGTTCTTCAAGTCATCCATAGTGACATTGTAGCCCAAGAGATGAAGGACGATGTATTGAAGAGCACAAGCATGACCGTTGGAGAGGACGAAACGATCACGGTTCTTAAAGTAGGGATTCTTGGGATTGGCATTGAGGAACTTGGTGAACAAAGTGTGAGCGATAGGAGCGCAACCCATAGGAGCACCAGGATGACCAGAGTTGGACTTGCGGACAATGTCAGCAGCAAGCACACGGATAGTATCGATAGCCTTTTGTTCAAGAGCAGTAGCCATTTTGAGAGTTAAATTGAAGATTGAGAAGAAAGAGAAAAAAAGTAGAAACTAGTAGTTTGGTTTCATACATTAGGCCTCCTTTTATAATGCGAAATGGGGATTTGGAGCTATCAGCATTTGGTCGGCGCAAAGGTATCCGAGTAAGCGAAACTGAAAAAAAAAAAAAACGTCATGGATCTTGTATGATTCTACTAATTGGACACGACCCAATATATTGAGAAACCCGTTCAATGACAATGTTCCAGTTTGCTGACGAAAAAAAAAAAAAAAAAAAAAAAAGCCTCGATAAACCCTATGTGTTCAAGGCAGAACTTTATGTAAGCAGCATGTACTATAAAATGGCACACAAGGATGGAAAAGCGGGTAAATAGCCACCAAAAAATTCCCTTATTCTCCCCTCTGCCTCAATGCATTGGTGATACAAGCTATTGAATGGAGAATTTAGAGGCTGGCTTTGACTAAATGATGACAAACTAGTAACCATCAAAGGCTTTCATCCTCGGCAATCCAAAGAGATGCAACATTAGTCAAGGGATAAATTATTAATTTTCATTAGAAAGCCAGGCTTTAAACTATTGATTAAGTAATCACTAACTATAGTTGCTCATGTATCCACAGTTTCATGTGTCATTTTTCAAAGGTGTTCAAAAGATAATTTGATTGCGCTACGTAGCTGAAGTTGAGAAAGTAATCTTGCATTTTAGCGTCGAGATTAGCAGCGTCAATGGGTGATTCCTTTATGATTTCATTCGTAAATTCCTCGTCAAAGTTTTCGGCCAATGAAGGGTCGGTCTAACATTGTTAGTCAGACTCGCAACCATGTCCTTTATGAATACATACCACTATAGGTTGAATGGGAGGTGTGCTGGTACGCATCTTCAACTCCTTCCAGTCAATCTTGCGAAAGAATCTGTGGCTCTTGAGCTTTTCCATGCCATCATCACCATGGCCCAAACGCACATTGGGATTCTTGCGCAACAGTCTGATGAGCAGATCTTTGGCGTCTGACGAGATATAATATGGGATCTGTAGCTTCTTTTTGAGAATAGCATCCAGGGTCTTTTTCTTATTACGACATCGGAAAGGGGTCTACAAGAGCAATCAGTTCAACATCTACACGCATTGGGATTGAAACTCCTTTTGCTTACATAACCGGTCAGCATTTCATACATCAGAATGCCAAATGTCCAGTAGTCGACGCTCTTGTCATAGCTTAATTCCAATAGAATCTCTAGCAAAAAAAAAAAAAAAAAAAAAAAAAGCTGCTGGTCAGTATCTACATGCTGTAGAGCCTCCATCATTTGTTTCGTACCAGGTGCCATGTATTCTGCCGTTCCACAAACGGTATTTGTTCGACTTCCTTCAATGGATACTTTGGACAAACCAAAATCAGTCAAAAGAGCATGGCCATTACCATCCAATAGGCAATTTTCAGGCTTCAAATCTCTGTAGACGATGCCTAATCCGTGCAAATGCTCCAAAGCCAATAATAATTCTGCCAGATAGAATCGTGCGACATCTTCTGTAAACATGTGTTCTGGAATCAAAAAGAGAAAGATGTCAGTGCATTTGCAGATTAAACAACCGCATCATGAAATCATAAATCACCACATACCAGAAGCCATGTGCGTAAACAATTCGCCACCAGTTGCATATTCCAAGATGAGATACAATCGGTCGTTTGTCTGAAATGCATAAAAGAGCTGAACGATAAACGGATTGCGCACTTCCTCCAGGATCTGCCGCTCTGCTTTGGTGTGTTCCGCATTCTTTGCATGCACAAACAAGGAGGCCTTCTTCAAGACCTTCATGGCATACAAGATCCCGCTTTCCTTATGACGACACAGCATGACCTTACCATAGCTACAGCACCATGTCAGTTGGGGTCATTGCTTAAACATGGTGTCACAACTTACGCTCCTCGACCGAGTAATTTCAGAATTTCGAAATCGTCCAGACTAACTTTACGATTGTCCGTTGTCAATGGAGTGGATAGAGACGATGATATAAAGTTCTCTGCCAGAGGTACCTCATACAACTTTTCGTCCAAAGGTATCTGAGTTGGCTCAGTGGCATCTACTTCTGAGGAGTATCCACTTTCGTTGACATCTTCGAGTGTTGCTGTTGTTGCTGATGCTGATACATGAATGGATGGTAAATCATCAAATTCAAATACGGCACTCATTTAAGTCTTGTTTTTTTTCGTAATTTAGATATCAATGTAAGAGAAATGAGCAATCAAACCAAATTGTAAGAGTAATAATAATTCCATAGAGTAAATTGAACAAGGAAACAGAAAAAGAAGAAGAAGAAAATTTTTTTTTTATTTAAATTATTTCCAAAAGGGAAACATGGCTGTTGGGTCCAGCAAAAGATGTGGAGTAAGTCCAATCAAATCATTCTCCTTATTGTTGTTGCTGATCTTGATCTGAAATCAGGGCAAGCAGGGTAGTGGTAATGATCCTGATCAATGTTGGCATGCAAATTGGCATACTGTCTCCTATACAGAGCAACCGCTTGCTTCATGCTCACAGGTGCTGTCGGCCCTATCAGCTTGGTGTGTAGGTTCATCACACCAACGTGCACCAAGAGGTATTATGAAGAGTCTGTTGACATATGAATACTTTCAGAACACATGCTTCTATACCCTTTGTCATGATGTTTGTTTTATTACACTTGATATTGATTCGCTTTAACAATAAGAGTGTCAAGACGATCGTGTAACTATTTGTACTAAAATTGCTCCCCATACTGTTAATATACTATGTGTTATTAAAGCATATTCTCTGTGATACGATTATTTTTTATGAATGATTTGCAGGCACGATACTCCAGTTGCTTCAGTTCAAGTTCCTTCAGTTCAGCTTTTTTCGCGCCAACTGCCCAAGCTATTTTCTCGATCTCCATGTTCTCGAATTCAAGTTCCTGAGTCCAGTTGTCTTGCTCCCTTAACAGTGCATCCATGTTGGCGAATTCCGTTTGTTGTTCCATATCAGCATCTTTATCGGGATTCAGTGTTACAGGTGTAGGACAGTCTGATGCGGTATGGAATGAGCTAATCGACTCGGTGTCTGAGATAGCATCGTGATCAGCAATGACATTGTGATGCTTCGTAGCGTCACTGCTAGCAATATGGGTTGAGACCAATACAGAATAAAGTTTGGTTGATTGCTCTTGAGGCCTGTGAGTCTGATGGTGTCGCGCTGTACTCTCATATAGCATCTGTTTAGTAGTATGTTTCAATTAGTTCACTATACACCCTTCAATTGCACTAGATACCCGCTTGAGCTTGCTGTCGATGGCATTGTCGTTGTACAGACAAAGAATGACACGCACCAGGACGATCATTATTAGATAAAATGTTTATAGCAGAAGGTTGATCTCCTGGGCTGGTTTGCAATGAATTTTGCTTTGATATTGACATAATATGGCGGCGTAAAATACGAATAAGCATGCTCAATACTCAAAACTATCTCGTTGGAACTGTCTTGATGTGACCGTGAGAGCGCTCCTCATGCTATCGCCGATCAACAACATCAAGAAAAGATGCATACCTGAAAAAATCATTACTTGTTGTGACCTATTACAGCCAACGCTACAACCAGAAAGGCACGATAATTTTCAGAATCATGCTTTCAAGAATCTCTTCGTCTTGCACTGCTCAAAACTAGTTAGTGTGCTAATAAAATGAGACAAATTACTAGAGGCAACACGGCAATGTCAGGCATTGAGTTACAGGCATCAAAAGCTCGCATAAGCATTTCATCTCGTGCTGTGGTTATTTTGATTTGCATCAAAAGCAAAATAATAATTATAGCATACTTCATCGATTTGACAAATCGACTCATTTTTGGGTAATAGCATTGCATGCTATGTATAGACTAGATAGATGGTATATTTCTGTCGTTGGAAATATTCATTTTGGCGCCAACTCGTATTAATTTCATCAATTAAATAAATTGGCCTCCCTTAACATGCCACCCGATATATACTGCGAATTAGCGCGGAGAGCCGAATAAACATTGTGTACCACCAAGAACACTGATTTCTTATGCAACAATATTTACAAGCATTATTTAAATTAATGAGTATGCCAATCCATTTAGGATAAACCTACCTTCTGCGTAACCAACTGCATTCCGTTCTTGAATGTATATAAAGAGCGAGAGAGGTTTCGGTTATCCTCAACCCAACTCAATTCTCATCATCATGATCTTTTCTCGTTTATTACCTCTTGCAATTGTTGCTGTCTCTCAAGTAGCTTGCGTTTCTGTTCATAGTTGGTGGAGCGTGCCTAGTGGATTTGGCAACATCAAAGAGCTTGTGTCTTCTATCCGTGTACCTAAAGGCTCTGACCCTGTCAACACCTACTGGATGGCAAATGGTTTCACTGGAGGCTACATGGGATTTCAACATAACTCAGGTACAGAGCGTCGCATTTTGTTCTCTGTTTGGGATGATGGTAAAGGCAGCACTGTAGATGTTTTGAAGAAGGGCGATGGTGTCATCGCTAAAGGCTTTGGCGGCGAAGGCACTGGTTCACAATCATACAAGGTATACAACTGGAAGGCTCAAGACACTGTATACTTCAAGGTAGCATCTGATGTTAATGAGGATACGAACGAAACCACGTTATCTGGCTACTACAGTACAGATGGCGGTAAAAATTGGAACCTGATGGCTACTTTCTTGGCTCATAAGCAAAAGATCTACCTCTCTAGTCCATACAGCTTTTTGGAAAACTTTGGTAGTGATCAATCCACATTGAAGGAAGGCTTTTACGGAAACCAAACCATTACTAGCACTAGTGGCAAAGTAGCTCATATCAGCAAGTTCTCCTTCACTCACACCACACCTGTGCGCAATGGCGAACTGTATGAACAAAAGCAAAGCTTAGGCCCTTCAAATGAAGTCTACATGAGAATTGATGGCAGTAAGAATCAAGGCATTTATAACCCACCCTCCAATCCCAAATAAACAATAAAAATGAGTCTTGAATCAAGTTAAATTTACTAGGCTTCTATTCCTATGAAATAAGGCACGCCATTATTATTGTATGAATTTCTGTTTTAATAGCCAATGAGCATTATCATGAAAGCTTTAACCAGGAAAATTTGAGCCTACTACACAATCATTTTCTGTCGTAAATCAGGCTGACTGGCAATATCAGAGATGAAGCTCCCTAATAGTAACAAAGTAAAGTATCCGAGCTAATTGACAGTGCCTCTCGACTAGCTATCGTGGTTTATGGTAGCTTCAATAACATCGTTTGCCTTTACAAAAGATACAACAGCACTACATGTTGTTTAAGCAAGCAGCCACCAAAATTGATTGAATCTCCGCTAATAATTTGTTGCTGTAGATTGGTTAAAATCTAATAAAAATCGACTTCGATGAACTACTTTGCCAGATTCGACTATATAAATTTTTTTTTGTAGGGCAATTGTATTGCTTTATTTAAAGTCCTTTTACGTACGCCTATTAGATGGGAGAGGAAAAAAGACTGATTCGACTATATAAATTGCCATAATCATCCCGTACTCCCTTAAGCTTCATTAAAGTGCTTCTCAAGGCAAATCTAATGGTACTAATTAAAGTATATATTATGAACAGGCTTATTGAGCAGTGTTGGTAAATATAAAATGAGGTTTTTGGCCAAAATGTTGAGAATTCACATATCAAATATCTCATAAAAGTGTTTTCAGTAGTTGCTTTGGGTCAAGAGAAACATTTTGAATTAGTATATGCTATAGTAAAAGTCTTCATTTTTTGGTCAAAAATGCGATCAATCGATTTTTTATTGTTTTCCATGAGGGGTACCTCATGGTTTTTGGAAGATATTGGTCGATTTTTTTTTTGGTCCCAAAAAGTTGAGCAATGGTGTCAGTAAGTAATTATTAGATGAAACCAATCATTTGGCACTATCCTGGCAGTCTAAAACGACTCTTAACGCGAGAATTTGCGGCTCAAATGTGTCTCGATGTCGCTGTATTTTGCATAATTTCGAGTAGTCAAAGGCAATACTAATATGCCCGGAGCTCGTATATGAATCGTTCCCATTAATACGGATGTGGAGCATCCTAGAAGAGTTAGTTCTATAGCTTTAGAAAGCTCCCACATGATAAGGAAACGTTAAAAAGTCCACAGTAGTAGGCCATTGTATAATGCTAGTATAGACGAAGCTTATAAACATCCAGACGGCTCTTTGCCCTTTTTTTGAATAAACAAGTGCATTCATTGTAATATCAAATAGCATTCAGTAATCGAATCTGACATGAATACGTGCTTGACGAGACAAACGGCTTTGCTGTGAATACACTTGAATCGTTTACTGGTCTCTGATGCCCATTTGTACCACCTTTAGTACAACAGGATAAGCGTTCGCATTGAAAAATAGATAGTTACAATCAATCATCAGGTGATCGTGTGCCAAAAAATGCTTGCTGTAATCCATGCGTGGTAAAATCAAACCTGGATAAAGTTCACTATCGTTATCACTCAACAAAGAAAACAACAACATATAAAAACCCAAGACTTCCCCTTTAAATCCCCCTTTTTTTTTCTTTTTTCATGCAATAATGTTTCGACTTTCATCGCTTACCAAAAACATAAACCACCGCAGATCCACCACGACCCTACTCCATCAAGGTGCAAGAAGATCCTACCATGATGATGGTGTCTACGGCTATCGCGTTGCCAAAGAGTTCAAGCTCCCAGACTACACTGCGGAAGAGCTCTCCAATCGTATGAAATATGGCAGTCTATTGCGTATGGTGCAGGCGTATCGTACTCACGGACACGAAGGCGCGCATTTGGATCCATTGAACATTATGAAGAGAAAGGAGGTGCTTGCTCTGAAGCCAGAGAGATACGGATTAGGCGAAAATGCGTCAGAAAGCTACAATCTGGCTGGTAAGTTTTTACGTGTGTGAGAGCGTGCCCAAATGCTGGGCTGATGAAGCTATATAGGTATTTTGCATGTCAACGATGCCATGCAAGAAAAGAACCTAGGTAACGAGGCTGATTTTAAAACTATTTTGGATCACTTGCAAGCTGTTTATTGTGGGAAAATTGCATACGAGTTTATGCATTTACCAGTAAGTATTGTTTGTTTTTCTCACGGCCCTGCATCAAGCATCAAATGAGTAACATTGGCTGTATAGTCTGCTAGCGAAAGAAGATGGTGGTATCACGCTGTGGAGAGCTGGGAGAAGCCTCAATTGGATGTGGAGCAAAAGAAGCGTATTCACGAGATACTATCCAAGTCAGAGGTATGTTGTGTAGTGCAATGCTGGTGCAGCACAAAGCTGATCGCCCTGTGTATATAGGTTTTTGATCAGTTCCTGGGCAAGAAATTCCCCAACCTCAAGAGATATGGTCTTGAGGGTGCTGAAAGTATGATGGTCGCTTTGGATCGCTTATTTGAGCTCTCGGCAAAGAACGGCATCCAGGACATCGTCATTGGCATGCCTCATCGTGGCCGTTTAAACCTGCTTTGCGACCTATTGCAATATCCCTACGCAGCTCTTTTTCATAAGATGAAGGGCCATTCTGAGCTCCCTGAGGGCACTTTTGGCTCAGGGGATGTCATTTCCCATCTGGTCAACAATCCTGATTTGACGTACGGAGGAAAGAAGGTGCATGTGTCTCTGTTGGCGAATCCATCTCATCTAGAAGCAATCAATCCCGTGGCTATGGGTAAAGCTAGAGCAAAGCAAACGGGTCTTTTGGCGTCCTCAGAGGAAACTTGCAACTTGGGCGATCGTGTGATGTGTGTTCAAATTCATGGAGATGCTGTAAGTTTATTAAATACACACTAAATAGACGCTGTTTAACAGCTATTAGGCATTTGCTGGTCAAGGCATTGTGATGGAAGGCCTGGGCATGAGTAATTTGGCCCACTATTCCTCGGGAGGTTCTGTTCATATTGTCGTCAACAACCAGCTGGGATACACTACACCTGCTCAAAATGCTCGCTCGTCAGCCTACTGTTCTGATATCGGTAAAATGATCAATGTGCCAGTTGTTCATGTCAATGGCGATTTCCCTGAAGATGTTGCTAGAGCTTTAGATATGGTATTCGAATATAGAAACAAGTTTAGAAAGGTAAGCGCCGCTGACAACTTGGAGAGCAGGCACAGTAATAACCATTGCTGACATAGGATATTATTCTTGATTTAATGTGCTATCGTCGCTGGGGCCACAACGAGTTGGACGAGCCCGCCTTCACTCAGCCCATCATGTATAATAACATTAGACATCGCACCTCTGTCCCCAAGCTCTATGAAAAGAAACTGATTGACGAAAAGACTCTTAGTTCGACAGAGGAGGCTCAACAGGTGCGTGAAAGCCAAGTGAAGCAACTAGAGCAAGGTCTGCAAGATGCTGAGAGCTTTGTACCCGATGCTGAACACTTCCACCTCGACAAGAACTGGAAAGGCTTCCGCCATATTACATCAGCCAGCGAAAGTGAGACGCCCGATACAGGCTACGATGAAACTGCGTTGACAGAGATTGGCCAGCGCTCGGTCACTCCTCCTGATAATGTCAAGGTACATTCTCGCTTGCAGAAATACCATATTGACCAGCGTACCAAGAAGTTGAAACAAGGCCACGGTTTGGACTGGGCAACTGCTGAAGCTCTGGCATTTGGGTCACTTATTCAAGAAGGCTATGATGTGCGTATTTCTGGTCAGGATGTGGGTCGTGGCACCTTTTCTCAGCGTCATGCCATGTTTGTGTGTCAAGATACTGAGCGCGCAGTAATTCCTTTGAACCACATGCAAGCTGATCAAAAGAATTTCTTGGAGGTAGCGAATAGTCCCCTGTCCGAGTTTGCCGTCTTGGGTTTCGAGTATGGTATGTCCATCGAGTCGCCTAAACGTCTCGTGTTATGGGAGGCTCAATTTGGTGATTTCTTTAATGGCGCACAAATCACCATTGACACGTTTTTGTCCAGTGGAGAAGAAAAGTGGCTGCGTCAAAGTGGTCTAGTCATGCTGCTTCCTCATGGTCAAGATGGTGCTGGTCCTGAGCATTCATCTAGCAGAGTAGAGCGATTTTTGCAGGTAAGGTATCAAGCGCATGCCATGCCAATGTCCTTACTAAAGCACTCTATACTAGATGAGCAACGATGCTTTTGATGTCACAAAAATGCAAGATAGACCACCCAACTGGCATATTGTGAACTGTACGACACCAGCGCAATATTTCCACGTGTTGCGAAGACAGGTAAGGTACACCGTAGCACAAATCGAACTGTGTTCTGAAAAGTTCTATACCAGATGCTTCGCAGTTACCGCAAACCACTCATTGTCATCTCACCTAAAAGCCTTTTGAAGTCTCCCGTAAGTCTGGGTTCAAGGAAGGAACGAGTTGAATGTCCAAATTAAATCAATTTCAAATTAGCTTGCTGTCAGCTCTTTAGCAGACATGGCTCCTGGAACATGTTTCCAACCCGTCTTGAAAGATGCTTCCATCAAGAACGATGCTCAGGTAGAAAAGGTTGTATTTCTATCAGGTAAATTCTACTACGATCTCGTCAAGGAAAGACAAGCCCGTGGCCTCAATGACAAGGTGGCCTTGATCCGCATTGAAGAATTGAGTCCCTTCCCCAAAGATGCGCTTGCAAAGGAAATCCAAAAGTACGAAGGTGCACATGAATTTGTATGGTGCCAAGAAGAACCTCAAAATGCCGGAGCTTATGCTTTTATGGCGCCACGATTGGCTCAATTGTTGCCTGAAAATAAGGTACTACCTACCTGATATATGCATTTGGGATCTTTGGTGTAACCTGTTGTTTTATAGGCAATTCAGTATGTTGGAAGAGAACCTCTTTCTGCACCTGCTGTAGGCATCTCATCCGTCTTCAAGAAGCAAGCTCAAGAGCTCTTGCAAGAGAGTATGGGGATCAATTAACAAGTAGTAGTTTATTAAGTGTAAGGTGTATTAAGAGAATTAAATTTACGGCTTAATTTGTAAATCCATACAAGATTTATCTGCTTCGGTATGTTTGTAAATATACCCAACCCATTTCAATGCTATTGCTCTCTTTTGACGAGTCTTGCTGTCAACCTCCTTATCTTGAAGCACCTTATCACACACTTGACGTAATGTAGCCTCAACTTCAAATTTGGAGGTCTGCCATAATGCCTTGTAGGTCTATTTCATCATGATGAGGATCAAATTGTTTGAGTCAATTCTGTACATCACGCATCTACCTTGGTTGTCACTTCTTCCTCCAACTTCATCTTGTCTGAATCATCCATACCCTTTTCTTCTGCTTTCGAGATCATTTCTGCAGCTTGCTGAACGTCCATAGCAACCTTCACTGTAGTCCAGAGCTCCTTGACAATGTGTTTCTTTTGCTTGAATCCAAGGAAGATACTAGGCATGCCACCACCCTTAATACCCAAGTAATGCTTGGCTTTGAGAGAATACACACCACCAATGGAATGAAGTAACTCAAGACCATAGCTTTCATTTTTTAACTTTTCTGCTTCATGTTTGATTTGATCCTGGAATGCAGTTATCGCTTGTTGGTCGCCTTCGCTCTCAGTGAACAATGCCAATTTCAACTTGAGTGTCTCTGCTAGCTTATCAACACGTTCCTGTTGTTGCTTTTGCATCTTCTCCATTTGCTCCTTATTCATTAGCTTCTTTTCGCTATCTTCACTTCCCTCAGCAGCGGTGCCTTGTTTTTCGAGTTCGTCTTGTTGGGCATCACTAAACATTTCACCAACAGCTAATTCACCAATGATGCCTAAAAACAGCACCTTTGAGTAACCCTGTATATTTATACATCCTTACTGCGAGATTCGCTTACTTCTAAATGCATCACCACCAAACATTTGTTGAAAGTACTCACGAGGGTCGGCAAATCCACCTTCTGGAGCAAGCTCTTTGTCTTTACCATACTTGTTGTATGCTGCACGCAATTGAGGATCTGATAAGACTTGATAAGCTTCTGAGATTTCTTTGAACTGCAAATGAATTGAGTAACAGATTCCAATGAAAATTTTTCCCTCTCTTGTTGTGTCTTTACCTTCTCTTCAGCTCCTGGTTCCTTGTTTTTATCTGGATGGTAAACCTATGTAAGCGCAGTGTCAATGCTACGTTTGTTGTTCAATGGCTATGTATGATGATGTACCATGGCAAGTTTTCTATCGTTCAAATGAGTATACAATTTCAAAGCGGTTTATCAAAGCAGCAAAGCACATACCTGTAGGCCTTCTTAATTTGTATAGCTTCAGCATTAGTAGGAATGTCTAACAACTCATAATATGAGGTATCTATGGGGTTCTCGTCTGTGCCAAACTTGGACATTGTGTAGTATGATGAGAGAAAAAAGTCTAAATATTTGTTTTAATAGAAAAAGAAAAAGAGAAAAAGAAAACAGAGCGGTTGGACGGAAACTTTTTATTATTGTCTCAGACTGCACAGCACGGTTTACCTTGTGTCTGGGCAACAACAGCTGCTTGTATGTTTATTGGGTTTCAAACAAGGTCTTCTGGCCCAATGATTGATGATGTATAGGCTTGATTTTGGGCAGCAAAATCAGTTTCTTATATCTTTTTCTTCAGTTACCATGTCTTTCATGAATGAGATCAAGTGAAAAAGCTTTTGAAATGGTCAAGATTCAGCATATAATATCCTCTATACAGGCAAAAGTCTACCAAACCAGTAAAATCATCTCTAATGCCTGATCTCGAAAAACAGAAGCCATTTTTACCGTTCATATGCATACCAAAGGAATGCCATCAGTGCAAACCTGTATCCTGTTGCATTGGCTTTTTTTTTTGGGATTATTTTATCTTTTCTCTTGCTGCCAGAATGATGAAGCCTTTTTACAAGGTAGATGTGGGTGGCATGTCACCAAAAAAAAGCTCGTTTATGAGTTTGGCTAAACTTTCAACATTGTATAGTTCACCGTTTTATCTCTAATAAAGGCTTTAAAATTGAAAACAAAAAATGTTCCTGAAAAGAAAATTGTCCAATTTCATGCTTAGTATACCATGGTCAATTGGTATGTTTCCCATACAGAATGATATACAAAAACACTTTGCAATCAGGTGTATACAACGCCATTGGGTTTCCCGCTATGCTGTTGCATTCTTAAGCTGTAGACAATGGTAGAGCACGCCAACCATGACGCCTGGTAAAACCAACCATATCAGATTAACAATTTTGAATGAAAGCGACTTGGATAGCGCAGATGGTCAATACGGATTTGCAAAATTAGCGCTCTCTACTCTGCGGTTTCGTTGGTTCTGCAGTTTTCCATCAAGAAGCTCAAGGCAAGCTAATACTGGTCGTTTCAATGAAAAGCGGCATTGGCAGACGTTGTGTTTTGTTAAGGAACGATTCCAGATATGGGTATAATTGGCATTTCTGTTCGCTGATGCTTTCGATACTGATACGCAAGGTGCTCCATTACAAACGGTTTTTTCCTGGCAATAACCTCTTAATGAAAGAACATAGAAAATTGGGGGCTGAGCCACCTTAAGAACACTGGGAACCTAAGAACTGTCAAAAATAAATCATGTATTTTGCGCAAAATTCAATGCTTTGATAGTAAATCGATCAAGCCAAAAGTTTGAATCAACTTGTTACACTTTGTTGCTGAGTAGAGATTCTATTCAACGTGTAGAGAAGTGGAAATAATGTTTGGGTGATACAGGTTCCTCAAAAGATCAGACTAGGCCCTCCGTATAATATATACATGTGCAATCTATTGTTTACGTCAAAGCCGGCAATAGAGAGGGACTTTGGGGCTGGAACATAATGCATCATAATTCATATAAAGTCTATGAAATTAGCGTTATTAAAATCTTCGAATTAGAAGTTGCACAGACTGCAAAACTGCCCTTCCAGAGAATCTCAGGTACCAAGGATGTGATTCATGTCGTGTAAATAACAGCTATAAAGAAAAAGCATAACTAAATTTGACAGCTTTTAAGCCTTCATATCTTGACCTATAGAACTTTCTGAGCCGCCAGAATGATGCCAAACAATTGTACTCAAGTAGTAGTAACTTCCTGACACGTTTGCTCAATTTTTTGGGTACCCAAAAAACATGACCAAAAATCGACCAAAAAGCATAAGGTACCCCTCATGGTTTTCATTGAAAATCAAACGATCGCGTTTTTGACCTTGATAATGAAGGCTTTTACTACGGTATATCATGAATCAAAATATTTCTCTCGATCTAAAGCAACCTCTGAAACCACTTTTGCGAGGCCTTTATATGCAAAATCTTGACATTTTGGCCAAAAACCGCTTTTCATATTTTCTTGAATTGCTCGATAAATTCAGTCAAAACATTTATTTTTACTCGGCACCATTGGATGCGCCTTGAAAAGCACTTCAAGAAAGCTTAAAGGGGCACAGGATGATCATCATATTTGATATAGTCGAATCTGCAAGAATAGTTCAATCGAGTCGAAAATTATCAAGATTCAACCAATCTAGAGCAGAATATGAGTCTGGGCTTGAATTGATATTGGCTGTTGGGGCTGGTTAGCAAACTCGATGCCCTTTTCATCATGAAGGCAATATTAATTCTACGTTCTTTAGTAAACGTTGAAAACATTGAGCAGAGGAAAGAGGGTAAAAATAAAAGTGCTTTTTGTTGATTGATTGTAAAACCATTAATCATATATGAGCCAGGCCTGACAGATGCCTGGAAACTCAATCTCCATATTAGGGTTGTAAAAGTGTCTAGGGACTGAACATTTATTATAATATGATGTGGCGAGCTGCTTAAACTCAATTGAAATGCTGTTGTTGATGAAGGAATAACTTGGGGAGAACGTAGTGTTTTGATTTGCCGATGTCAATGGATCGCGAATCAATTAAATGTCATCCAAGCTAGCATTGAATTCGTCTAATTGAGCCTGCAATTCCAGGATCTTTGCCTTGAGCTCTTCGTTTTTCTTTTCTTGATCCAAGGAAAGACTTTCCAACTGTTGCACTTTGCGTTCAAAATGCTCGGCCTTGACATCAGCCTCTCTGAAGCTACGGAAAAAACATGGGTTTAGAGAGATAAAGATTCACGGATACACTACGTACTTTTTGGTGGTCTCTCTGATGGTCAATTCAGAGTTCTCCAACTCTTGCTCTAGCAAGGTAATCTTTCTTTGAGCCGCGTCGTTTTCCTTTTTCAAATCGTCTTCACCATCTTCAAGAGATTTCAATTGCTTGATCTTCTCTTGTGCCAACTCCAAATCCTCTTCCAAATGCTTGTTTTGATTTGTGAGTGAAATAATGTCGTGTTCTTGCTTCATCTGGATTTGCTCCAACTCCTTGTACTTTGCTTCGTATTCATCTGCTCTGGCATTGGCAGCATCAGCCTCTGCACGGATAATTGCAATTTTCTGCTGGACTGTCAGCACACCGTCCTCCTTTGAAGCTGCCATTAGCCATTACTCTTACCTCGCGAATCTTTTCCATATTTATTTCAGTTGCTGCAATCAAGTATACAAGAAGAAAGAAACAGGAAGAAAAAGAGGAGAAAAAAGAAACATGGTTGTGCAGTTTTATACTCGTCCTGCCTCACGTGGTGCCTGAATATGCTGCAGCCAGCTGTTTTGTATTCCCAGATGCCTGTTTCTGTTCGTACTACACATCACGATGCTAATGGCTGGTGCACTTGATACTGCAAGGTGTACATTCCACTGAATGAAGCATAAAGACTTTATAGGTTGCTTTGCACATCTTGAGGCATGTAATGCCATCTTCATCATCGCTGCTCATCAAAATGACTTGGTGTCGTCGCTTGAATCGCATCGGGATCAACGTGAGGATCAGCCTGCTTTGGGTATATTGGCACGCACACCTGCTTTTCATTGTATTTCCGTAACTCAACTACCACGTTTCGCTAGATGGATGACAGCCATGTGTCTATGGTGATGCGAAGAAGAAAAGTTGCTAAATTCATACAATGTCCTCATTGCACACATGTACCTGGATCGACACATTTGCACCCAACTGTTGGCATAGAATGAAATCCTTATCCAGCGTAATGAGTTCCATGATATTGATGGGTAAAGTGCAAGCTTTATTGGTTTTGAGTATACATGGCGGATAGAGTGATTGCTTGCGAATGTCCCTATCACTCTGTGCCGATCATCCTACACTGGCAAACGCTCTGATCCATCTCTTGCAGTGCTGTGATCCTCCATATCGGCATACATGATGTTCCTGATTGATGTCCTCAGTCCAATGTCAACCACCAAATCATCATGGTAGAACAAATCGTCCGAGGTGGATTCATCCCCACCATCTTCTCTGGGCGGTAACATCAATGTGACGCTGTCGGCTCCTAAAGCAGTTGCCAGCGCAGGAGGGACAGACAATGTCGTAACCACTGTGCCATTTAATAAGAGCTGTGAAGACAGACTTGAAGTGATTAGAACCCGCACAACCTGAAAGATGTATACGATGCAATCCAAACAGAGTAGTCTGAATGTGCTGGGAGGCTGTTCTAATGGGAAGTGTTAGTAGCGAATGGAGACAACAAAGAAGAAGACGTTACGGTTGCCAATAAAGTCGATGATGATGCCTGGCTGACCAGGTTCAGTTGTGATGTGCATGAGTATACATATGAGCCATCCTGCTGTCACTATAGCTAGAGCTGTGCGTAATGAACGAGTCAATGCTCGCGGCGATAGTAGTTGCTGTAAGGATAAATGAATATCATAATGTCTGTTTAGTTCGAGGTGAGCTTTGCCTACCAGTTGGAGCAATATACGAAAGAACAGAACCAGTAAGCTTGTATCAAGAAAGTATGTATATGCTATATGATAGTATAAGAGATAGTCCAAGGACCTCAACACATCTCTCTTTCCATTAGAGCTCATTAGGTTTTAAAGGTGGAGAAGAAAAAAACATAAAATTGCCTGTGTTCCCAGTCTTTTGTGGTGTGGCTCTAGTTGGCATGAATATCTTGAATGCCACAAGGTGGATCTATCTGAAATATATGCTACGAAGCCGCAATTTGTCGGCCATTTATATGCTTTGTCATAAACAAGCATTCAAATTACTTTTTGCTTGAATGTTTGATACATTGGAGCTCACGGTAATCTGAAATCTCGAAAATTGCACCGATTTTGTCCCTTTTTACCATAGCAAGACAGCGTGCACCCTTCCAAGTGAGCTCTTTGACCATATTTTGAATGGCAGTGGTCGCACGAGTAATAAAATTTCCTTTTTTGCCAGCGTCCGAATGCGCGCACAGCCAATCATCGCTCGAATCGAAAAGAGTATCTACTCGAAACTGAAGCAAATAGGCTGTTATAACAGTAAAAAATGAAATAGAAAAAGTGTATTGGGTAATATACGATATCTTCATTATATATAAGGTGTTTTTCAAGCAATTTTGTATATTGAAATGGAAATTTACATGCAAATCAAAACAAGAGGCGGATCTACGGCGAGGTCTCAGCTGCTAGTTTTGGGATTTCTATCGATTTCTTATATAAATAAGGGATCTGAATTGAATGCCACCTCCAAATTTCTACCTAGTTCACTCATAAAAATGACTAAAGAAGCTTTCACTGATAGCATATCTCCATCTGATGAGGTTCTCGATGAAAAGGACAAAAGGCAAAAGGCACCTAGTGTTTCCATCTTCCGCTTGTTTCGATTTGCTACCCTGAAGGAGAGACTCATGATTTGCATAGCCATAATTTGCTCAGCTGGCACTGGCGCACTACAGCCAGTATCCATTCTTATTTACGGTTCTTTCATTTCCACCTTGACAAGCTCACTTTCTGACACATCTCAATTGGTAGAAGCGACATTGCCCCTCATTCATACTATGGTCTACATGGGCACTGCTTCCCTGGTTGCTGCCTATATCTCAACTTGCTTATGGATCTTGACTGGAGAGAGCCAAACACGAAGAATTCGATCCCTGTACCTGAAATCAGTGCTGCATCAAGACATGTCTTGGTTTGATCAATCCAAAGAAGGCTCTCTCAACACTCGTCTGGCATCTGACACCCAGTTGATCCAAGATGGTATCAGCGAAAAGGCTGGCTTATTAATCTCGTTCTTTGCTCAATTTGTTGGAGGTTTTGTTGTTGCGTTTGTTAAAGGTAAATCAAATTAGCTGCTGCTATCTAAATTATTCTTACTGATTATTGTCATAGGCTGGCAGATGGCCCTGGTTTTGCTCGTCGCTGTTCCCCTTTTGGGTGCTTCTGGTGCTATCATGGCTCATTTCCTCACCAAGTTCTCAAAGGAATCTCAAGACGCATTTGCAGAGTCAGGCACTATTGCTGAACAAGCCTTTCATTCTATTAGAACAGTCTATTCGTTCTCTTTGCAAAAACGGTTCTCTGATCGCTACAACCAAAAGCTAGAAGCAGCTTGCCGATCTGGTGTCAAAGGAGGCGTTGCCCTTGGGTTTGGCTTTGCGTTCTTTATGTTCTTTTTATTTGGCACATTTGGTTTATCTCTATGGTTTGGCTCTAAGCTTGTTACCGAAGGCCACCTGACAGGTCCCTCTGTGTTTATTGTGTTTTTGGCCATGATGTTGGGCTGTATGAGCTTTGTCAAATTGCCACCCAATCTGTCTGCTGTCTCAAGTGCTCGTGCTGCTGCCTACAATGTGTTTCAAGTCATCGACCGTGTCCCTAAAATTAATGCTGACTCTAACGAAGGGCTAATGCCTCGCGACGTGCAAGGAACCATTCAATTTGAGCGCGTTTTCTTCAACTACCCCACTCGCCCTGATCTCAAAATTATTCAAGACCTTAATTTTCAAGTAGATGCGGGTAGTACGGTAGCCTTCGTTGGTCCTAGTGGCTCTGGAAAGTCGACTATCATCCAGCTCATTCAGCGTTTCTACGATGTGTCCTCGGGTGGAATCTCTTTGGATGGTCATGATATCAAGGATTTGAATGTCAAGTGGCTGCGCCAGCAGATGGGCATTGTGAGTCAGCAGCCAACCCTGTTTAACTCTACCATTCGCGAAAACATCTTGATGGGTATTGACAAGAAGGTTTCTGACCAAGACATTATAATTGCGTGCAAAGAAGCCAACTGCCACACGTTTATTTCCCAATTGCCTCAAGGTTACAACACAATTGTAGGTGACAATGGAGGCATGCTTTCTGGAGGTCAGCGCCAAAGAATTGCTATTGCTCGTGCTATTCTCAAGAACCCCTCTATCCTTTTGTTAGACGAGGTGAGCTTAGATGTATTTACTCGCAGTGATGTTACTCACATTATTCTCTACAGGCAACATCAGCACTTGACACGCAGTCGGAAAGACTGGTTCAAAACGCCCTGGACAAAGCATCCAAGAACCGCACTACTATAGTTGTGGCTCACAGACTCTCTACTATTGTTAATGCAGACATGATTGTTGTGATGGACCATGGCTCAATCGTTGAGAAGGGCACGCATCGTAAACTGATTGAAATGGGTGGCGTTTATGCTGATCTGGTTGAGAAGCAAGCAATTCATACTGACGTGGCCAAAGAAGATACAAATCAACTCCTGATGCAAGAAGAGTCAGAGATTCAGCAACACATATATGTGAATGCCAAGACAACTGCAGCCAACCATTATCAGGATGACAACGATACCAAGCACCTCTCTATTGAATTACATGACCATATAATTGAGGATACTCACATGCTTGAGCTGATCAAGCAGAAACGTCTAGAATCTGAAATGAAAAAGAAGCAAGCTCCTGTCTGGAGAGTCTTTTGGCACATGCGTCCCGAATGGAGCTATTTGGCACTAGGTGTAATTGGATCTACTGTCGCTGGCTGTATCTTCCCCCTGTATGCCTACGCGTTCTCTCATGTGGTCTCTTTGCTTAGCATACCTGGTCAAGACGTTCAGCCGAGCCCATTAGGAGGAACCAACCTCTATGCCTTTATTTTTCTCATTATCGGTATTTGTGCTTTTCTTGGTAGTGGGTGTCAATTCATGGCATTCGAAATCTGTGGCCAAAAGTACTCAAAACGTCTGCGTGGTGAAGTATTTGCTGCATATCTTAAGCAGGAGGTCGCCTTCTTTGACGAGAACAGTACAGGTGCATTGACTACTTCGCTGGCCATCGACGCTGGAAATGTGAATGAGATGATTACCAAGGTCTGGGGCGATGTATCAAACCTCTGCATCACCATCATTGTGGCATTGGTTATTGCATTCACTCATAGCTGGGCTATTACTCTGGTCACATTGTGCATGTCTCCCTTTCTTGTGGCATCCACAGCTTATGAATTCTATCTACAACGTGGTTTTGAAGACAATACAAAAGTTGCCAATGCTCAAAGCAGCCAGGTAGCCGGTGAAGCCATTCGCGAAGTCAGAACAGTGGCTGCCCTCAACAAGCAACAGTATTTCCAGGACTGTTACTTTCAAGCTACTGCCCATCCTCATAAGCTTGCTGTGAGAAAGGCTTATCTGTCTTCTATTGGTGCTGCTTGTAGCAAGGGAATCAGTATTTACACGAATGCGATTGCATTCTTTGCTGGCGTCCATTTCATCAAGAGCGGTATGATTTCGTTTCAAGATGTGTTTACCAGCATGACTGTAAGTATACTTCATATCAATACTATCTACCAATGTTACTAATATACCTTGTCTAGGTCATTATGACAGCTTCAGAAGCGGCTGGTAGAAGCACTACCTTTGTAGCTACATTCGCCAAGGCCAAATCTGCAGCGATTGCCTGCTTTGAAATTTTGGATCGACATACAAGAATTGACCCTGAATTGGAAGGCATTGAACCAACAAAAGAGAGTATCCAAGGTGACGTGGAATTCAGGAAGATCAGTTTTGCTTATCCTACTCGAATCGATGCTCCCGTATTTAATGGAATGCTGAACTTACGCGGTAAACCTGGTCAAAACATAGCTCTCGTTGGACCAAGTGGCTGTGGTAAATCTACGACAATTGGTATGCTTCAGCGCTGGTATGACCCTCTACAAGGTGCTGCTTGCTTGGACGAACAGGATGTCAAGAACTACTCTCTTCATAACCTTCGTAGTCATATGGCCATCGTAACTCAAGAACCTACGCTGTTTGACCTGCCGATTGTTGATAATATCCGCTTTGGTATCGACAAAAATGAACCCATCACCCAAGCTCAAATTGAGGACGCATGTCGATCTGCAAATATACACGATTTTATCACAAGTCTCCCAGATGGATATGATACATTTGTTGGTGCTAATGGATCTCAAATCTCTGGTGGTCAAAAGCAAAGAATTGCTATCGCTCGTGCCTTGATTCGTCAGCCCAAGGTCTTGTTGTTGGATGAAGCCACGTCAGCTTTGGATAGTGATAGTGAACGCCTTGTGCAAGAAGCGCTAGACAACGTGTTGCAAGAAGGAGGGAGAACTACAATTACAATTGCACATCGTCTGTCTACTATACAAAACGCTGATATGATCTGTGTTATTGATGATGGCAAAGTAGTGGAGCAAGGCACACACTACGAATTATTGGCCTTACATGGTCGCTACGCTGCACTGGTGAATGAACAAGTATTAACAGCCCTCTAGTGATATACTCTTATTCTTTTCAATAAATAATACTACTCTTCATACACTCGACAATTTACCAATACTATAAACTTACTTTTAACTTATGATTATTACTTGAAAATCCTTCAATAATGCCTATATTTATGGGTTTAACTCCTCTACACTGCCTACGTCTGTCTCAATAAAAGCAATGCATTACAGGCAGATAGCATACTTGTATTACTCCTTACTACTCAAAATTCCGTAAATCACTACAAAATCTGAATACATCTAAATTGTAATATCTCCTGTTAGAAACCTTTTTAGCCTCCAGAATAGCATCAAACAGTTGAACTCACCAACAAGCATCTACTCACTGACGCCTTTCATCATCTTTTTTTTGAAGGGTCGAAAATTATCCCAAAGGTATCAATTACTTTGATGATTTCATCAAAACCAAACTATTGCGTTTTTCATCTTAAAATTGATGGCCATTTCTATAGCATATATTAAATCGAAATAATTGTATGATGCACTGAGATTAAGCCTTTTCTTTTAGTTTGTTCTTTTGAGTAACACAGTCTACTCAAGAAGTAATATTTTTTCATCTATTATACTAGAGGCAGTACTCCATACTTCATGTAGATGGAACGAGTATAACAAAGTACTTTCACTACTACTTGATATTGATAATTTTCTTTTTAATTTGTATTGAGTGTTACATTTTCATGAGTCTTACACTATTACAGACTTTACCCGCTAACAAATCAAGTAGAGAGACAAACTTCACATAAAGAATGCAATTTTGTTCTGAAAGCTTATTACTGGCTGTGGAAGCAAGTCTTGATTCAGCCAATTTTCAAAAGAGTGGATTGCGCATTACAGCTTGTTAATGACAAGTAATTGAGAATGATAAATCAATAGACAAGGTGGTGAAGCACCTTGTAGTCGAAGTCGTTTGACTATATCTTGCTTCGCTGTCGTTCGGCAGAGGGTCAAAGACGTGCTGCGCATTTGACCAAAAGGAGAGGATAGCATTTTCATGCCTTACATTGATGCTAAAGAAGGCTTTTTATCAGGAAGGTTATATACCCACTTTAATAAGGGGTTGCTAAACGTATAAAGGGATTTTCAGTAGCTATATTGATTGTCAAAAAATTAAACGAGGAAAATGCCAGTGTTTCGGTGCTATAAGCTGTATAACCACCAACTCAACCAGGCATCTTCTTTATTCATTAGATTTTGATCCCTTGCGCTTGCTTCACAGAATGAGACCTCGTTTGGGCACTTACATGATAATTTCTTTCCATAATTGAGGCTTCAACCCTCAGATTGTGGGTTACAGTGGTGCAGATTCAATGCATACTCCTGTTAGAGAACCTTCAAAATATATATATATAAAACAAGCCTATTTCTGTAATACAAGATGTATAGTATTACTTGCATATGAGGCCCTTTTGTTGTGTACTTCTAATCTTTAGCAAGTTGTGTTAGTTTGTTCATATCGATTCTTGTATCACAAGATTTGTAGGTAATGTATTCAACAAGAAGTTGAATAACTAAAATCACACAAATGCAATGGAACAGTAAAGTGTCATCTTTCCACTCTGTGGAAAATTGAGATGATTCTTTATGGAATGAAATATATATATGGTCCTTTTTATATCTTTCTAAATGTAAGATATTGAGATGTAATTTCAAGCGTGATGATCGAGTAGATTGTCATACATGATATGTGTAGATAATCTAGAGATAGATGTAGTTGTAGTCTGCTCTTGTCAGTGGAGTAAGTGGCGTTCTTTCAGTAATAATCATGCTGCTATTAGTTGACTATTTGATGTATCCTGCTGTGTCTGTAAACTATAGTCTGATATGTGCTTTGTAGTGAATGTAAAAACCAATGAGATGTTGATGCGCTGTATGAGAGGTATGATGTGATGGATCATGGTGTGGAATGCATCAGTAGATATCATGAATGTCTGTTCAGTCCAGTTTGATACGTGATTTCATTGTTTGTCCCCACCCATAGTGCTAAAACGGACTTATTAGTCTGTCCAACAACAGCCATTCCTCCTTAAATATGAATGTTTAACATTGTGCATAAGCTTTAAGTCTAGTTTCAAGGCTAGATATGACATCTCTGTTGTGTACAACCAACAAATGTACCCTGTTAACCTGATAAGCATCTCGCACAATCGAAGTGAGCTGTCAGATTCAAATTTGCATAATAGCATTCATGCACAAGTCTTAAATTTACTGAATCAATCGCGTATTTCAAAAAAATAGATTTGAGTCTTAGAATTAGAATAAAAGCATCTATCATTTAGAAACTAAGTTCCATACAATGCAGAGCATCTGGATCATCAAACAAAACTGTAATTTACTTACTTCTTTGGCAACAAAGCCTAGTACGCCTTATTTCTTGGCCAGATTCTGTCCAAATCTCGCCATTTTGAACCACGAATAACCCATGCTACAGAGCGTTGTAGACGCTTGGAATAGGGCCAAATCACTCTCCTTTGATACGCTTTACTTACTGATGCTTTATCTCAAATTTTTTGGGTCATTTTAAATCCATGAAAATTTTTATATTTTCATGAGTATTAGTAAGGGAAAATTCTTGAAAATCAAACAATCGCGTTTTTTACCGCAAAAATGAAGACTTTTCCTATGATACATATTAGATCAAATTGATCGTAAAGATGAAATGCAACATTGGGAGCTCTTTCTATTGTCTAGAATAACGAACTATAGACAGAGGAAATACAATTAGAATTGAGTATATTTATTAAGTTATTCCAAGACTGAATGAGAATCGAAACTAGTGTAGATTTCAAAAGTATTTATAGTTATTTGACAGTGCCGCAGCAATAGGACCTTCATCTTGAATGCGGGATAATTGTAAAAGCCTTGAACCAGTTAACGAGAATGTACTGCGTAAGAGCTCATGAACCACCAGTCAAGGATAAACAACAAAGATGATTTAGGATAGAATATTCTTCCTAATAGCTTTAACGGAGGAACATTTGTCGGAATTGAAACTCACTTCCAGGGATGAAAGGCCATAGGCTACCACTCTCTAGGAACCAGGATATATATTAGCCATTTGATGGCACCACTCACGTTCCTTCGTGCTGCTTGAATAAAGACCTCCCACTTCTACTACGCATCTTTGCTCATTCTCAGATCCTCTTATGTAATATACAACGCCTAATACATTTGCCTCTCAGAGATGATCTATACCCTAAACATCTATGATGAGACTTATATATGCGAAATCTTGACATATTCACAGAAAACCTATTTTCATATTTTTGCGAATTGCCCGTTATTTTCAGTCTAAAAACTGTATATAAATAGCATCATTCGATGCGGCTTCTTTATTTCTCTGAAGCTGTATTAGAAAGTTGGGTGTAACAACGACAGTTTTTATAGTCAAATTTGGCAAAAACATTTAAAAGATGTCAGATCAGGTCAAGTTTGGACACGAAAATACCCACTGCACAAATTCAAATTAGATTGCCGCAGGTACGGCTGCTAAGGCAGAAGACTGAGACCAGATATACTGGCCGTGACGTCGGATAGGGCGCCGCACCATTTTTTCCGTACGCCCGTTTTTTTTCCCTTTTTGCAAGACGCGTTTAGCATCAAACCATAGTCGTTTTGGAAACCATTTGATTGATAATAACACTTTAGCTTCCGATAACCCTGTCTTGTACTGTTGGAGGAACTTGATACTGCTTGTTTGAAGTGGAATTTATTACGTATGATTCGGTAACGAGCACTGGAAGGCGTAGAATTAACACTAATTGAGTTTGTTTTTTATTAGGTTTTAGTAATTTTTTGCTTGTATGAGTGAGTGCTGCTGCTATTACTTCTCTGCAATCTCTGCTGCCTGCTTCTTTGGTTCAACATGTTTGGTGATTGCTTCTTATTTGGTCTTTTATGGTCTCTGCTGGTGTCGTTCGTTCTTTGGTTCTTCTATGTTGCTGGTGTTGCTGCTGCTGCTGCTGCTGCTAATATGGTCTTTCCTGGTCTACTGTCTTTGGTGCATGCTTGTCTTCTGGTCTATCTCTGGTGGTTGCCTATTCTTTGGTCTATCTGCGGTTATGGTAAGTGGTAAGTATCATTTTTTCTTCTGGTCGCAATGATAAAAGACTTCTTTGAACGTCGGTAGTATTATTGCTTCCTTTCTCATGATATTGCATTCATGATGCTTTCTTTGTTGCGCTTTCTTTTTCTTTTGCTGGTTGTGTTTCCTCTATGGCTTCACATGAAACAACATTAGTCATTATGTTGTATTGCAGACTTATAATACCACTGTTGCTTTTCCAGCTGTTGTGCGTGTTTGTGTTACTTTACATCCGACTATTACTGCCATGCACGATGCTTATGTATGCATTTTTGTTGCAACAACAGCGAACTTTTTTTGAACATCTTTGATGTAGTATTCGTGATACGCTTTTCTTTGGCCCACCTTGTGTGAGTGTCCTTTTTTTTTGTCTACATACTACTATATTGCTATAGTAATATGTTCTTTTCTTTTTACATTATTATGTTTCTTTGAAGCATACCTCTTTATTACGTTGTGTGGATGTGCCTATCCCTGAAGCACAACAAAACTTTATTCGAGGCTAGGAGGTGGATAGGCTGCCTCCACTTGGTTATCGCTACTTACTTTAGTGATGATTGAGGGTCTCAATGCCAGAATTTAAAAGCTAGGTGGTGTAAGTAAGGCATGCTCTAGCACCTGGGGGAAATTTGATGATAGTAACAGCTATATTGCTATATATCGGAGCTTAAAATTTTGCCTCACATCAAAACAGGGGGAAACCCTCGCAATTTTTTTTTAGGTCAGCGGAGTTTTTAAGCCATCTGATTGGCTCGGAGGCTGAAGCATCAAAGGGCTACAACTAGTTGATTTCTTATTGATCTGCCAATAAATATAATATTGTGTTTGTAATAAAAGAATGACCAAATGAATACAACAATTTAAGTTCTCCTTTATTCAAAAGTAAGATAAGGTGTAGTTATCATGTAATCTGCAATCTGTTGCACAGCAGTTTAATGTGAGGAACGTCTTTTAAAGTTATTATTCTGTAGGGAGGAAGCAACATAGATATTACGGCACTTCAACACAGTGGTGTTTTTGTTAGCTTAGAATAACAATTAGAATTGAACATATTCATCCTTTTTACTCCAAGCTTGAGTGAGGATTAAAACGAATAGTGTACATTTCGAAGGTATTTATAGTTATTTGATAGTACTGCAGCAATAGGATCTTGATCTTCTTGATTACTACGGAGGATAATTTTATAAGCCTTAAACAAGTTAACGAGATATGCAGCGTGAACGCTCATGGACCGCTAGTTAGGAATAAACAACACTGAAAATCCAGAATAGAATGTTGTTCTTCACAATAGATATGATGGAAGAACATTTGTCAGAATTGAAACACGCTTTCAGAGACGAAAAGTTATAGACAACCATACTTCAGGTACCAGGTTATAGATTAGCCATTTGATGGCACCACTTATGTTCCTTTTTTATACTACTGTCTGAATAAAGAGACCTGAATATACTACGCATCTCTGCTTCTGTTCGATCCTTCTCATGTATTATAATACGTTGTACAATACGTTTGCCTCTCAGAGATGGTCTATATTCTTCACATTTGCGTTTGGCTCTTTAATAGATATCTCTGCTTGGATGTGAAAAGAGAGATTTGATTGCATCAATAAGATGCACATCTTTGCTCCTTGTAACTCAAATGCGTGTGCTACAAACTACCAACTTTGAGTCTCACTTGACGCCTACTACAACGAGAATCTTCGCAAGAATATAGTTGTCCCAGGTGAGTATCTTTGCGTTGACGAATCGACAAATCAATGGTTTGGTCGCCACAGAATGCCTGGTTTGAAGATTCCCCAAAAGCCTCACTCTATAAATCAAGAATACAAAACAACGACAGATTTCATCACTTGTTGTATCACTTGACCTGGCGCTTCTGGTGAAATGTAATGATTCGCATTACATATGTTTCATGATTGAAACATTAGTATAGTATATAAATAGCCTTCCTTTTGACGGGTATTAGCGTTAGTAAAAATATCTGTCGTTACTTCTTCCTATAGTTTTATTACAATAAATCCACCATTTAATCCTAATACTAATTGTCCAATAGTATTTACATGTATCATATAAAAAGTATTGTGCAAGGTTAAGGACCTACAAATAGTAACACCAGTTTACCCATTCCTAGTACACATGTCATCCCTCCACAAGACTATTGTACTCTCATTACATGAAAGTCTTCCAACGAAGTTTGATACAGCGACCAAAAGTTACGACCTCAATCGCTCAGGGCTAACTTCTGCTACAGTGGCGCAAATAAGATTCTTTTTTTTTGCAGTACTATTAGTCATACTTTGCCCTAGATTTATTTCATAGATTAGAGCACGACATAGATGTTTCCGTGGTATTATCAAAAAAAAAAAAAAAACTGATTTTTGCCACTGTAAACTTCAATTTGAGGGGTCAAACCCAGATTTTTGAAAAGAAACATCATGGATGGCCAAACGAGGCCTCGTTACGTACAGCAAACAAAGGGTAACAAAACGCAATTAATAGAGAAGCCGCGGTTGCACAAGTAATAGCACCCAAACACTGTTTTACTTTCGCTTCGTTAAACTTTCCTTTCTGAATTATTTGACAGCCAATGCAGAGACTGGGAATTTATATATTTGACAACCTCTCAAAATGAGCATACAATGATTCTGCTGTAAAAGCTCTAACATCAACATAGGGCCCAGGAGATCAATCTCTTTCTTTTCGTCAAATGTGCAGCACAACTTTGACCCTCTACCAAGCGACAGCGAAACACAGTATAATCGATCGGCTTTGACTACAAGGTGCTTCAACACCTTGTCTATCGGTTTATCTTTGTAATAACCGACAAACTGTACCTCGCTTGATGTAGACAATTGATGTTTTTGAAGCTAACAAGAAAGAAATTGCAATTTGAGTGGCATTATCTCACTCGGTTCATTTACCTTTTACCATTATTACGCATTTTGTCGAATGTACAAATTTTAGTTCTGCTATTACGGAAAATGACCCAAGTCGTCCATATGCTGCGATGGGATCATTGCAGTAAATTCAACATCTATTTGCATATGCAATGCCCGAAAACTCTTTTGATCGTAGAATAACGAAGTTTTATTTGGGTTGACACAAGCGAAAGCTTATGAAATTGCAATTGCACCAAGAAGTGACTATATCGCATTACGCGAATTAGGTCTTAAAATTGTGCAACTACATACCATATCATTAATTTTTTTTTGGTTTCAAGCATTGAAAAGAAAAAGGGAGAGCAGGGAGGCAAATGCCATGCATTTACGGAATCAGCGATCTATCAAGAGCAGGCAGGCTGTAAAAAAAAAAAAAAAAACAAATGCACAAAACTTGATTTTTCTGCCAAAATTCCAGAATTAAACACATTTGGTTCATACAATACTCTGCTATAATAGCAGGTAGACACACCAAGCATTGCTTGATGCATTCACTTTGAATATTGTATATAAAACCCATAACTTCATTTTCAATGACTAAGTGGATAATGTCCAAAAGTAAATAGTCCAAGCATATCCAAAAAAACTTGTCGTATCACATGATGAGAAAAACCACTGAAGATATATTTATGGGGTTGGCATCAATTCAATTCTTCACCTCTTTTATTCACTTTCCTTACACTTTTTCTCTGCATGTCAGATTTTATTGCTAGTGCTGTTACTGGTGATGGTGGCATGCCACCAATACCATCCACCTATTATGAAAACTTTTTAGAAAGTTTGGCGCAAATTTTCTCCAAACTACTCACTGACCAAGAAACAGAAACTGTTATATCCTCGATTCGCACATTTCAAGAGAAATTAAAGCGTTTAAGCAGGTAAGAGGATTTGGCGCAATCTTCTCGTAAAAGGACTCATCTCATTGCCATGTTGTTTATAGCCATAATCTGAATAGACTCAACCTGGACATCACAGCAGCTGAGAAGACGAGGCCTCATTTATGTCGTCATGAAGGAAAAACATGTACTCAAAATTGCACTCGAAGTTTCATCAAGACATTTACGGTGGCATTTGTCGTGAAATATTTGATTGGTATCCTGCCTACACTGCTGTCTGGAAAGATATTAACGAGGTTTGTGTTCAACATTTATGCAATAAAATTCATACTCACAGCATGATTATCATAGGCCTGGCGTACTAAAGCAAATGGCGGGAAGGTAAATTATGGTGTGATTTCCCCACATGTAAGCACTAACCTTAAATTCTTGTGTGTGAATACGATAGAGATACAGCGAGTTTTGCACTATTCCTCAGTACATTCATCAGCAGTTACAAAGGCATCCTTTGCGCTATGAGACATTTTAGAAAGACAAGTGATAGAAAATCGGATCGATTGAACGCATTTGTTGCAGGTAGTTTAGCTGGGTTAGCTCTTGCTTTTGACAAAGACAAGCAACGAAGACAATCCATCATGCTCTATTTGTTTACAAGAGCACTTCAATTCAGTGGCGCGTGGCTGATGAAGCAATGGGCACTCAAACGCAATGAAGACCATCCAGGGGAGAAGAAGTGGGACGATCATTTGGCCAAATGGATCGCGAGATTCTCGGGTGTTGGTGTCATGATGATTGCCAACGCACAGATCATTTATGCATTCTTGTTCAACCATGATACATTGCCTAGATCCTACTTTGCCTTCCTTCTGACGCACTCTGGATTCAAAAAGAACTTTGGTGGTATGGCTGCTCGTATAGCTGAAGCTGTAGGTATCACTGTCAATCATTTGGTCGAAGATGAAGTCAATATCAAGATTCCCGAGGGTCAATCCAGCCGCGATTTTATCTCTCAGTTTGTCAGCCCTAATATTGGCAGCGCTATTCATCCCAAAATGAACCACAAGTACATCATGTGCGCTATCCAGCATCCTCTGAACGATAATTGTGCAACTGACAAGTTTGGCTTGTTCAGAGATGAATTATTGCGATCTCTCAAGCTCTATGTTCCCCTGAATGTCGTATGTATATGACTGATTTACATATAGGATGTGTATGACTAAAAAATGAATGTGGTAGATCATGCTGGCTGTTTTTAGATCAAAACAATTAACCGTCGAGTAAGTTGTCTTTGAATCAAACGGGGAAGAATGGGAGATCACAGCAACTCATCTTGATATTATTAGTCCTAAAACAGTAATGCAGAAATTCACAATTTCCTGCTTACGATCCGCATTGTTTCTGACAATGTATGTTGTTATGGGATTATCTACGCCTTGCTGGTTGCGTAGATTGACAGGCACAGATAAGCCTTGGATCTATGCTGCTACTGGTGCAGTGGCTGGTAGTATGGTATTCATCGAGGCTCCCGGCCGACAATTAGGTAAGTGCACAGTGATTGTTCAATTTGCAGAGGCTCACATGTTTCATTGATAGAACTTGGATTGTACTGTCTTCCAAGAGCATTAGAATCTTTATGGAAGACCTTGATCAAGAACGGACAAGTCAAGAATATACCGCATGGCGATATTCTTTTGTTCATGGCTTCCATGGGTACATTGATGACACTATACCAAAATGACAAGGATACAATTAGCTCCCATTACTTGAGTGTCATGACACGATTTTTCGGACAAAACTAATAAACCACAGCAGTATTTATGTATAACTACCAATTGAACTGATGTTGCGTGTATTTTTTTTGAGATAGAGATTGGAATTGAAGCGTCTTCTAGAATAATCGAATGCATTGGATTATCTTGCTGGGCACCACATGTAATCACCCGCTGAGCAGGCACCATTTCAAGTCGACTCACTTATACAGTAATCATATCCATTTCCAGATGCTGTTCGTCTTAAATCAACATTGAAAACTGCGCTTTTGAGCATTTTATTTCTCCCAGATATACAAAAGACCTGCTTTATCAGGAATGGTGATGGCGAAATTACACATTGTATATAGTTTTGACATATTTGGAGATGTGATTTTACAAGACGAAAGGAATTACAATAGGGGACGGCCAATTGCAATGAAAGTTTAGGGAAAAAGACTTTTTCCCTCTTACTTTTTTATCTGAATTCTCGCACTCTTTCTTTCTTTTTTTCTCTTTTCTGTACTTACCATTGCATTTACAGTCTTTTCATCTAAAATGGCACCTGCAAAAAGAAGTACTACTGCTAGTGACAAGAAATCAGATACCGCTGCATCAGCAGCAACAGGAAATAATGCACCTCCTCCCGCCACTCGCAAGAGAGGAAGACCTCCAACCAAGAAGGCCGCTGCTAAAGCTGATGCCGCTAAAAACACTGCCGAGGAAAGTAAGGAAGAAGCTGTCAAGGAATTGGATCTTTCCGAGAAGCGACAACAAAATGAAGAGGTAAATTAGAAAAAAAAAAAAAGATGTCAAGTGCGTGTTTGATATACATGTATCATTAACATTAACAATCCATAATATCAGCCTGTCGTAAAGAGAAAGCGTGGTAGACCTGCAAAACTGAACAGTGATGGCACGAAGAAATCAACGGTAAAACAGGCTGATCCATTAGCTCCCAAGCGTGGTAGAGGTAGACCAAGAAAGGTCGCTGCCGAGTAAAGCGTCTCTTTCTTCATAACGCAAACAGATAACGTGTTGATATCTTTCTTTCTTTTTTCGCAAATCTCAAAATGATAACTTACAAACTGCAATATGATAATGATATACCAAATGCAAAAATATAAAAAAAAGGAAAATTAATCAGATCAATAAAATAGCGCTTGAAGTCTCTTCTTTCTGAAAAGTTAATGGTAAGCTCAATTTGGTACATTTGTACAATTGCGAGCATATAGATAAATCAAGGTACAGGAGCGTAATGGATAATAATAAAGTTTTTCGCCAAACCCCGCTGTCATTGTCTGATGTTCGAGATCCAAAGCAGACATACCCACTAATAGCCATTGCTCAACTAGTACAAAACTGCACGTTCAATGGATGTCTGAGTGTATGTCATCCCTCATTTATTGAGATTGAGGTTCATCAGTCGCTGTAGAAACAATGCATATCAAAAAAAAAAAAGAACGCGGCACTATGAAGCAGAAGGCACTTGTGTATTTGCAGTGATTGAAGCCATTTGTCTCCATTTTCCATCATAGCCTGCAGTCCATAGCCTCAATTTACCATCATCGCCAGAAGAAGACAAGATAGTGCCTGTAATGTTCCATTCCACTCTCCATACTTCTGCCTTGTGGTCATCAAATGAAGCAATCAACTCAATGTGGTATGATTTACTGGCAGATCCACTAGACTGGGTTGGTGTGCCGGCCGGTGAATTGGGCACACGGCCTCTCTGTTGTTGCTGTTGTTGCTGCTGTTGCTGCTGCAAAGGTAATAGTTGCTCTGTCAGTTTGTAGATGCGCACCAAATTATCTTTACTCGCAGTTGCAATCAATTGATATGATCTCGCCATGCTGGGTGCCCAGCTGACATCATGCACTTCTTGTGTATGGCCCGGTAGGAACTCTGATGGTATCCATCTATTATGCCCATCATGCTTGAAAATCTAATCAAAGAGATTAATATGACTCGACACAGATTAACCAAAGACATCACTCACCCTTGCGCCAATCTCTTTACCAACGCCTACTACCATCATGGGCGCAGGCGTTCTATTGGGACACCAGTCTATACAATACCCACTATCAGCGTCTATAGGTCGATGGATGTTACTCACAACTGCTGTGGGTACACCAGCAATTCCAGCGGATGATCCTGGCGACACTCCCTGCACATAACCAGCCGTCGCTGTACTCGTCATGGTGGGGATGTCGGATACCCCAGGTGTAGATAACCCATGGCTGGCAATGGAGCTCCCGCTGGAGCTTGTGCTGTTGGTATGAACGGGCTGTTGTCCAAATGGATGCTGGGGTACTTGGTTCGCTGAAGCGTACGGATGTCCCATCGGAATCTGAGATTGTTGCTGATAGGAGCTTTGTGCGTTGGATTGATGGAATCCATATTGCGAAATCTGTTGCTGTGATGGTTGTTGTTGCTGTTGTAATTGCTGCTGTTGTTGTAGCATGGGTTGAGGTTGATTTTGCTGTAATTGCTGCTGTTGCTGTTGTCGCTGCTGCTGTTGCTGCTGAAGCTGACCAATGCCCGATTGCAACTTTGAATCAGCACTTTGATACGACACACTTGAAATCTCGAACTCTTCCATTTGGGACCATTGAGCGAGGTTTGTGGGCTCAAGTGCTTCGTAAATACGTACAATGCCGTCTGAAGAGCAAGTGGCTAATCGAAGCGAGTTTTGTGTTGGTGCAAATGCAATGTCAAGTACAGCCCCTCTCGATTCTACGAGACGAAATCGTTCTGCCCAACGTTTTTGACTATTTCTCGGTTCTAATATAAACTGTTTTTACACCTGTTTGATCTATCGGCGTGCTCAAAAGATGATCTTACCCACTGTCTGCTCTTCCCAAATTTTTACTTGCCTATCAAACGAGCAACTAGCAATCACTTGTCCGTATTCAGGTCTCGCCCAAATTGCCTTGAGGATGGATGCGTCGTGTGCTTTCCATGCATCGTTCAGCTCCCAGACTGAAGCATCAGGTCGTTCGATGAAATCCCAGACTTTGATGCGCTGATCCGAGGAGCATGTTACTAATCGTTTGCCGTAAAAGTCGTATGAAATATCATGAATAAGATCTTCATGACCTGTGTCGAACTTGGTTAAGCTACTCGCCATGAAAATGTGTGGATAGTGGGAAAGAAAGGCAAATCAGCCACCGTCACCCTTTGTAAATGGAGATTTACCATGCGGCCATTTAATCAATGCTGCCAGATCACAAACCCCATGTACCTCTATTTCATTCAAAAAAAAAAAAAAGTAGTTTCACATAGACAAAATGTGGTTTCCAATATGCTATTTCAATGTTTTATAAACTCTAAAAGTACACACTTTAGGGACACGCCCGAATATGGCTCACAGATGAACACTGTATTGCACATTTGAAAGCATCTTTTACCTGTATCATCAACTCACAAAAGATCGGCATTGACTGATGCTCAGGGAAATCACAAATTAGACATTAATGAAGCCCCCTTTTTTTGAAGCAGCCTGTGAGACTCTTGTGGTCTTGTAAGTCGAATATCTAACTTGCCAATGCACACGTATTTCAGTCTTCTGTAACAATGTCCTTGAGATGTCGTTCATGCAATCATCAAACGGCATACACATGCCAACGCGGTGCTTCAAAGACTGTCAGTGACGCTCCACGGTGCAGACAGGACCCTCACCTGAACATTTCGTTTGTATTTTGTTTCGTATCTTTTGGTTTCCGGATATTTGTCTGTTTGCATTATACACATCATTATGCAATCCATTCGGCCCCTTCTGCAGCTGAAGCATGCCCTGCCATCCATCCATACTAAAAGATGTTTATTCCATTCCACCGTCTATACTAAACTAGAAGAGCAGGAGAGAAGGCCAAAAGAGTACGAATTGCGAGTTGGATTTGGTAAGGAAACCCTGCAGACACTGATACACTTGACAGCAGCACTCGATTAACATGTGTCACTAGCCATCGCAACACTACAGGATGATATACCGCATTTTTTTCAAAAGGGATTATCAGAGCATTCCATCTATTCCACAGACATCGTTTTATCAGATCCACACTATACAAAGCTTTCAATTCATGGTCGCACAGCGTATTTGGGAATTGCACAAATGCTCAAGTGGAGCACCAGCTTATATTTCGACAATGTTTTACTAGAAATCACAAAAATGAGAGTGCTGCCTAACGATGTCAAGATAGACGACGATTATGACGATTATGACGATGTGTCGTCCTCATCTTCCGTGGTACCCTACTCATCCATCACTCAAGCCGAGCAAGATATAAAAGCAAGAGGCATCGTGAAGCGGCTGGAAGTACGGTGGAAGCTACAGGGCACAAAGAATGCTACATTTTTCCAGCCAGAACCACGTATAAGAAACATTGAAGGGGTGTTTATCTACAAGTTTGATCAACAAGGTTATATTGGCGAGCATCGCATACAAAGGATTGTACCTCCCCCCAGTCGCCGGGTTCTGCTGCTGCATTCATTAGGTGTAAGATTGCGCTCGTTATTCTGGGAGAACGCCAAGAGACCTGTGCTTAATCCAGGATTCTAATGAACCTTAAGACAGAATTTTGAATCAATAAAGCAATTGGTAGGATGATGGAAAGAATATGTGGTTAGACTGTAGTATTATTTAGTAATAGCCATCCAGAGCTGTATGATTGAATAGCCCTGATAAAACGTAGCTGGTACTTGTAGTTTCACGACGCCAATGGCCTCAAGTGCCATGCATAAATTGCTTATCGCCAGTGGGGCCAGCAGACTTCAAATTTAGGCTTTGATTGAATCCCAACCCCGAGACATTTGATTTATAAAAGAGAGCATCTCACCAGCAATTGAAAAAATTTTCATACCTTTTAGATCTCGATCTTTTTCAGCAAAGCAAAAAATGGACGACGATGGTATTCTTTTGAACTTTAGCACCACTCCCAAGGTAGCTAAAGCGCCTGCTGTAAAGCATGGAAACACCCGTGGCGTACTCAAGACACACGCTGCCAAATCAGCCGTGCCAGCAACTGTCAATAGTGAGACGATTGCACCATCCACCGATACTCCTCCAGCAACAGAAGAAGAGGCAGCAGCAGCAGCAGCAGCAGCAGCAAGTGGGCTCGCTCCTGGCACCAAAGTGCTTCATGGCAGAGCTCAGATCGCATCCTCTCTCTTTTCCTCCAACCCCATCATCCCTACAACGTATCGCAAGAAAGTGATTAGTACCAGAGAAGGTGCTAGTAATGCGCCCACCGATTCCAGCACATTCACAGGCATTGGCATCCAATCTGATCTCGCTGGCCATCTCGTCAACAAGTTCAATGTCACCACACCTACCAATGTCCAAGCCAAGGCCATTCCAGTGTTGATGGGCCCTGCATCTCCCCTTTACAAAGAGGATGTGGATGTCGTCGTTCAAGCAGAAACTGGCTCTGGAAAAACGCTCACCTACCTTCTTCCTATTGTCAATCGTCTGATTTCAGCCTCAACTGCGCCAAAAGATGCCATTAAGCAAAGCGAACAACCATTTGGCGATCGCATGGTAGGTACTGTAGCCATCATTCTGACTCCTACTCGTGAATTGGCTCAACAAGTCTTGGGCGTCTTGACCACACTTGTCAATTTACCTAGACCCAAGGACGAACATGTACGTCGTCTGCATTGGATTGTACCTGGTATTGTCATTGGTGGCGACTCCAAAGCAAAAGAGAAGGCTCGCTTGAGAAAGGGTGTCAATGTCTTGGTCAGCACACCCGGTCGCCTCTTGGATCATTTGGAGAACACAAAGAGCTTTGATATCTCCAATTTGAAATGGTTGGTGTTGGACGAGGCAGATCGTTTGCTGGATCTCGGATTCGAGGAGACACTCAAGAAGATTATGAACATCATTGGCGAAAGAACAAAGCAAGGAGGATCCTCCAAATACAAACAACTGATGACATCTAAATTCTGGCCAAGGAAGAGACAAACAGTACTGTGTTCAGCAACATTGAGAGACGATGTGAAAGAGTTGGCGGGCTGGTCTTTGGAAAAGCCAGCTTTTGTTAGTGGCACAGATTCCAAACGAGACGCATCCACCGTACTGAGCACTGACACCACAATGACAGAATCCAAACAGGAAGAAAATGAAGAAATGAAGTTTACCACGCCAAATCAATTGAAGCAATCATATACCATAGTACCTGCAAAGTTACGTCTGATCACCTTATTAGCATTGCTTCGATCTTGCTTTTACGATAAGCGCCAAAAGAAAAGCATGAACAGTAAAGTCATTGTCTTCTTTTCGTGCTGCGATTCTGTCGACTTCCATTACGATTTATTCGCTCATGCTGGAAAGCCCATTATGGATGAAGACTCTGACGACGAGAACGATGATGAGGATGATGAAACCAAGATTATGAAGAAGGCACTAGACAAGATTGTGGGTAAAGGAGAGGCCAAAAAGTTCTCCAAGCAGCTTACTGGAAACAACAAGAACTTCAAGAGCAATCGTTCAGATGAGGTTGTGCCTGCAGCAGAAGAGGGAGATACCAAGAAGGGTAAAAAAGTGGTTGAAGAAGCCAGCCAGGTCAGTACATTGCTCTTGGAGAAACCAGTGTTCCGCCTCCATGGTGATTTAAATCAACAAGTTCGCTCTCAAACATTCGCCGAGTTCAGCAAGGCCAAGTCGGGCGTTCTGTTTTGTACTGATGTGGCTGCTCGTGGTTTAGATTTACCCAATGTAGATCGTATCATCCAATACGATGTGCCTACGGATCTCAAAGACTATGTGCATCGTGCTGGTCGTACTGCTCGTCTTGGTAAGGCTGGTGAAGCCATGCTCTTCTTACTGCCTAGCGAAATGGACTACCTTGATATCTTGAAGGCCCAGGATCTATTCCCTGAATCTGTTACCATGGAAACCATCTTGAAGCACATTGCAGAGCATCAAGATGATTTTCAGACACCTGCACAAGATTTGCAAAACACCATGGAAAACTACATTCTATCTGATGAAAGTGTAAGTTGCTTACACTAGACAGTAGCTGACATTTCGTTACTAACTCGATTCATTTAGCATGTCATGTTGGCCCGTAAAGCCTTTTGGTCTACATGCCGTGCTTACGCCACTCATCCCGCTGCTGAGAAGCACATTTTCCATGTCAAGAGACTTCATTTGGGACATTTGGCCAAATCATTTGCCTTGAGAGAAGCACCATCCAATATCCATGAAAAGACCAAGGGCAAGAAGAGAAAGGACGCTAAGAATGAGCGTATGCCTGGTATGAAGAAGTTTGAGGGCAAGGAAAAGCCTACCGGACCTAGAAAGAATATCAACAATCCTTTGAAGAGAAACTTTGACCATGCTGGTGAATTCGCCATTGCCAGTGCATCCAGCTTGTTGGAGGGACCAACCACAAAGAAGAAGAAGAAGAACAATGGCAAAAAGTAAATAACCTCATAGAATTACACTTGTACATAGATCAATAAAGATATAGACATTAATTTGACAGCTGTATTCAGCTGAGATGAATTTTCTTTGCTTAAAATCGAGGTACATTGTGTTTATAGACGATCACTCCCTTTTCTCTCGTATTTGCATTAAAGAAAACCCTCAATTACATCATCCATGTTATCTGCCATTACTCGAAAAACGCTCGCTAAAGTACCACACTCTTCACGTTCGTACTGGACCAAGCTAACCACCACAGGAGCCACTATTGAAGAATGCGTGCAAGCATCGCTGGATACACTTGATAAGAAAAAACCCGATATTTGCGTAGTTTTGGCCTCCAAATCCTACTCGCTAGGTCATTACCGTAAGTTGACCCAAGACTTGCATGCCAAGCTGGAGCCAAGATGCTTGATTGGCGGCGTAGTCGATCGAGTAGCCCAAGTGAACCATGGCATTTCACTGTTACTTGGATTTGACGAGGACATTGTGCCATTTACCATCAATGATAGCCAGGATAGACTCAAAATCCGCAGTACATCTGTAGGTCGATGGGGTCGTGTTGAAGACACAGAAAGAATTAAGTATCAGAGCGACCACATTGACAAAGTAGGATTGGAAAACTTTGGCTCTGTCAGCACCCCAGTACAGGCCTACCAATTACCTCCAGGCCTTGAAAGCAAGCCTTCGTTTGTCTTTACAGTCTCCGATAACGAGCCAGATCAACTTTTGCAAACATTGGATCATCACTACCCTGATGTGGCCAAGGTGGGTATCATTGGAGCCTCAACACCCTTTGTTACGGGAGAACCTTATACGCTTTTCAACTCGAATGGCGATATTATGGGGTCCGGCATGGTTGGATTTGCATCCTACACCAAATCAGATGCATCCCACAATGTCAAAGTAACTCATGCCGCTATGGAAAAGATGGGCAATCCATTAAAGATCACGCGTTGCCGTGGTAACATCATCCTGGATCTTGACGAAGGAGGTGCTACTGGCTTACTGTTGCGTTTGATTCAAGAGGGTCCGAAGCTGTCAAAAGATGAAGAGTTTTATTTAGGGATCTATCCACCTGGAAAGGATCAAAACGCTGATGAGGAGGCTACCGTGAGTCGTATTACTAGTGGCGATCCAAGCAGAGGTAACATGTCTATTGATACAACTGCGGATTTGCAAGTGGGACAAGTCGTTCAGGTAAGCATGCTATTCCAGATGAATCAGAATGACACATGGTTGACTCACTTGACATTAGTTTATGAGGAAGAAGAACCTTGAATTCAAAAATATCTCAAACGATCCTATTAAGAAGGAAGAAATTGTCCTTGGTGTCAGTGGGAAGGATTATACAATCGATGCATTGCCTGTCCAGATTCCAGATGAGGCCAATGTCGTTCCTGAGGTGTTTGGTGCAGTAAGTGAGAACGGTGTCATTGTAGGTCGCAGTAATATACCCACTGAAGTCTTGGACGTTCCCTATTCTAAAGTTACATTTCATCTTTAATGTTCATCAAATGTAATAAAAGGTACAAATGAGGATTTATTTTAGATGTATATATATAAATGTAGTATGAAAAATAGTAAGAAATAATTACTCTAATGCTAATCTAACAGATGGCAACACGAGTTTACCACGTTTACTTAATAACTGGTCATGGATAACATTCATGGCTGTGATAGCGCTACGTTCATCAATAACGCAAGAAATGTTGATCTCTGAAGAACCTTGAGAGATCATTTCGATGTTCACACCAGCAGAGGCCAAGGTACTAAACATCATACCAGCAATACCCACCATGTTTTTCATTTGCTTACCAACAAGAGAGAGGATAGCCAAATCCTTGATAACATCAACCTGCAAAAGCAATGTCAAACAAAGCACTTAAAGTTGACCCTTATCGTATACTTACTCTTCCAACAGCACGCAAATCAGCAATGACATGGTCTAAATCCTTGTCGAGGTTGTCTTCACCAAGGGCCATGGAGACGTGGACTTCAGATGTAGAGATAAGATCCACCACCACACCATAGCGATCCAAAGTAGAGAAGATTTTTGCAAAGAAACCATGACTGACACTCTTGCGATTTGAGTGGACGTTAAGAACAATAACATGATCCTTGATGGTAACAGCTGTAGGGTATTTGCGAGATAAATCGATAGAGTAACCGTTCTCAGCCAGCACCTTGGGTGAGTGAGGTGGGGTAGCAGTACCATCCTTGGTTACGATATCAGTAGGGAAAATGATGGTACCTTGTCCGCGAGGATTCTCTACATTTTTGATGCGGATAGGAATATGAGAACGGATGACTTGTTCCATGGTGAAAGGGTGGATGACTTCAGAGCCGTAATAGGTCAATTCAGAGGCTTCTTCGGGTGTAATGATAGGCAAGAGGCGGGCACTCTTGACCTTGCGAGGATCTGCTGTAAAGATACCATCGACCTCCTTCCAGATCTGAAGTTCTTCGGCAGATAAACCGACAGCAGTAAGAGCAGCACAGAGATCGGTGTAACCACGACCGACTGAAGTCAACAAACTACCAGGGACAATACCAAAGAAACCTAGTTAAACACCCCGCACGCACAGGTTAAAAAACTTTTTCTACAATTGAGGGTGCTCATATCCTATTACCAGTAACGACAGGAACCTTGTTACCACATTGCTCGACAGCTTGAGCCATCTTCTTGGAGAGGTAATCGTAAAATTCTTGATCCAGCTTTTCGAAATCACGATCAATGATGTTCTCGAGCGACACAAATTGAGCATCCACATCCTATATACAAACATTGGATCAACCACTGACAGACCACAGCCACACAGTGAGGGCACTTACTCTATCCTGCAACACAGCCGCAACAATTCTACAAGACAGCTTTTCACCAACACCAATGATGATATCCTTGGACCTAGGAGAGATTTCGTTGATGATTTGAGCAGCTTCCAAGAAAGATTTGAGCTTTTCACAATCTGTTCTGATATCATCCTCTAATTCTTGTCTAATTTCATCATTGTGGATCATTTCTACAGCCACTGCAAGATGATCTTCCAAAAGAGCGGCAACAATGTCCAAATACTCCTTGGATCCAGGCTTCAGAGCATCATTGGCAGCACGGATAAGTCTGTTTGTAGTACCAGTTTGCTTGTCCTTTCCACTTCTTGCAGAGCAAACAACGACCAAACGATTTTGTTTGACATACTCTCTGCAGATGAAAAAAAAAAAAAATTAAGGTTAGTGACCTCCAATGTCTTTCAAATCTGACCCTTACTTGATCACTTCATTGGCAATGTTATCCAAAAATTTACCAATACTGGTACCACCAAATTTTTGCACGATCCAAGGAAGACCAGGTGAATTGTTGTAAGTATAAGTGCGCACCATTCTAATCTAATTTATAAATCTATAAGGAAAAGAAAAGAAGAAATAAAATTCCTTTGGTTACTCATTTAGCCAACATGCTATTAAAAAAAAAAAAAAAAAAAAAAAAAAGTGAGTCAACTTGACATGAATTTGACCAATGTTAAGGCATGTATTTTAGATAACCGCTTATCGCACCTCTGATAGAAAGATCTTGCTTCCAGTCACATTGCTGCTGGTGTTGTTCATTGCACCCGGTTTTCCGTTCATGGAAGCGAGTCGAATAGATTAGGCGACAACGTGTAACCTGCGATCAGGGCCATTATGTGTGTGAGTAACAAACAGATGACCCCGAAGAAAATATCTCCGTATTACAAAGCTACACAAAAAATGCAAACTTTAAGAGGAAATCCTGTTGATTTTCATGTACATTTCACATTGCAGCATAAACATATAGCCTATGCTTTTAATTCGTCAGATTTGCATCAACTTGAGTGTAAGCCGTGCATGCCCCTATGTGTAGTCCTTGATTGAAATCAAGATACAAATGCGCATTTCAACGCAGATCTTATATTATTGGCAGACAGTTGCTAGCATCACACACATTGCAGTAATAAATGATTTGCCGGAGGCTGTTTGCAATAATCCCTTGTGGTGGATAGTTTGAAGGTGGATTCCTCAACAATCAAGCCTCTTGCTGGCCTCGTCGAATGCCAAACTGTAAATGTGCTAGACAATCTGTTTGCTGGACAGCATGACCATTAGGACTCTTGCAAGGTACACGTTGCAAATGCTCCAATCTTTATCATCATGAGGAGTATACAAGAATGCCTCTATCTCTCGAATACCTTTGTAAATTCGCTTCACTCCAGTTTGAATTGACCTACGCGGTGGTGGCTCACCTTTATCAATCGCATTCAAAGATTGCAGCCTAAATCGAGCATCCCACTAGCGCAGGCTTCTTAAATTTCTACTATCGCGTGCGAGCTCTCTAAAACTGTGGATCTGGCCTTTTTTGAGCGCTTCGCGTCTGTATCAATAAGTATATATCATGTAAGGGCATACAGCATGTTTGCACTACCTCTTACTACTCGAAGTTATGCAAAGCACAGCATAATCTGAATGCATTCGAGCCGTGTTTTCTCGCATTAGAAGCTGTTTTAGACGGCCAGAATAGCATAAAACAATTACTTTCATCCAGCATTAACTTACTGACACCTTTGCTCAACTTTTTTGGGACCTGAACAACATCATCAAAAACCAACCCCAAAGCCATGAGGTAACCCCCTCATGGAAAACATCAAGAAATCAATTGATCGCATTTTTCCCCTCAAAAAATGAAGACTTTTACTAAGGTATATATTAATTCAAAATGTTTCTATTCATTCAAAGCAACCCTTGAAACTATCTTTTCGGGATCTTTGTATGTAAAATTTCAACATTTTAGCGGAACACCTCATTTGGTATTTTTCAAAATTGCTCAATAAGCCTGTTAATAACAAGCTTGTTTATTAGCACCATTGGATGCGCCTTGAAAAATACTACAAAAGAACTTAAGGGTGCCTGACAAAATCATTTCAATTTACATAGTCGAATTTCGCAAAACAGATCAATTGAGTCGATTCTGAAGAAAACTTGGCAAGAGAGAATGGTCGGAGATTCATTTATACTTGGCGGCTGGCCAGAATGCCCCGCTTAGACAATTGATGTTGGCGAACGGAACTGTGGATCAAAAAAGTACTATCGCTTAACCCAACTACTTTCTTTCACTATTTCTGTACATTATGGTGCTTGGACATGCTAGTCAGCCTGGCTCACGACTGACATATTTACTTTATTGAGGTTTTGATTATGCCTTGGATACTGAATCAAAGATGATCTTGATCTCGTATAATAATATCTAGAGCATGCGTTGTTATTTATGCCTTTTCTTAATAGAATTGAAAGCATTTTAGCATTGTTTGTCGTGCAGCGTCGTATAACATAGTTATGGCTAGTAATTATATGATGATATTTGCGTTGATTTATGTATTTTATAGTTTTTTTTTTTTTTTTTTTTTTTTTTTAAAAAAAAAAAAGAGTATATAATAAGTAGTATTGATATGATATATGGTACATTCATGTTATAAAAAGATGGAGGTATTGATCACCTTTTTCAATTAACTTCCATTCCAAAAGATTGTGATTTCACCATCTCCAGGAGCAGACATGACGCTATCCGTAGGCTTATTGTTTCGTGATCCTACTACGCTATCGGTATACGATGTAATGGGAGATGAAGCCGATGTTACTTTGTTCTTATCGTCAAAAGGGTCGTCTTCCTCTGCGATTGTGATTGTTGTAGCGTTCGCTGCAGGTAAAGCTACTGATAATGGTGTGGCTGCTCTTAAGGTTGCTGTGTCGGGAGTAAAAGTCGATGCGTTGGCAATGTCAGGTTGTATTGTCTTTTTGAATGATCCGCTACGAGTAACGCCATCTTGTACTTTGACTGTATTGACTCGCATGATTTGAGGTTTGGCTCTCATGACTTGCGTTGCCTGAACGACAGTAGCGACATGTTGTCGACTCACATTGGATTCAATTGAATCTCGTCTACCGTGATAGTCTGTTGTTGTAGTGGTGGTGGTCATGATACTGTGGGCATTGGAGAAGGGACGATCACTGAATGGGTTTTCTAAATCATCTTCATTCTGATTAGCAAAGGTGGCAAAGCTTCCATAACGAGAACGAGGTATTTCTGCTTCTGATTCTGTATACATGCTGTTATGGCTACTTGCTGTTGGAGGTATAAATGTTACTGGAATGACACCAGATAAAACTTGGCGACTGGCTCGTTCCTGCATCTCTTCATTGACTGCTGTGTTGTTGTTACTGTTGCTTCTCTGTTTACTTCTAAAGGCCAAAGGTATATTGTTCTTGTTTTTGATTCTGCGTCGAATCATCAAGAACATCAGCACACCCACAATCAAGCCTGCACCAAGTATACCGCCCACAAGACCGCCAATGAGGCCAGCATTTGATGAGCTGCTACTGTCTGTGGGATTCTCGATATCAGGAAGGCCAATTGTTGATCTTGGCACACATTTTGGCACAGGGCAAACACCGCATGTTGTCATTGTTCCTACAGCACACACATTGTTGCCTGAGCAACTCGGTGAGCAGGTAGATGAGCAATCTGTTTTGCAGTCTAGAGCACAAAAAAAAAAAAAAAAAAAGTCAGTATTGGATGAAATGTGATGACGGATGTGGATCTATTTACTTTGCGCATAACAGAAGCTGATGGAAGTTGTCAATAAATAAACGAGCGACACTTTATCGACACATTTCATCTTGTGAGTAAAAATGGAGGGATGGAGCGAGAGAGAGAGAGGGAGAGAGAGAAAAGAGGAAAAAAAAAAGAGAAAATCCAGAACAAAAAGTAAACCAGTTACACATTTACAATAAAAAAATGTAACACAGCTGCTTCGTTTTTGTACAATTGATTAATATTCAAAACAAGGCACATCAATTTGGAATCAACTTAATTGAGCACTCCTTAGCACCAAAGCCATAGATCCATGTAGAACACACAGTACAATGCAAAAAAAAAAAAGCGCTAGCTCAACAAGAAGAAAAAGGCCATCTGGTTGCGCTGCTCACCATCGATGAATGAGGGATGTTCTACATCGTGGTACGACATCAAAAAAGTTAATTTTCCATCTTTTTTTATTCTTATATAAACAGAGACTCTCCATCAAGTGGATACATGTGGAGAGTCAACATTTGTCTTGAGGAAGGATTCCCACTCATTCCAGGTAACGCCGCTTGGAACATCCCACAGAGGTACCTGAGAACTTAGGCTTGTCAGATCGAACTGTGCTGGCTGTGGCTGTGATATGGGCTCCATATTGTGGATGCCTAAAAACGTGTTGGCACTGTGGTGTGGTTGTTGGTGGCATGCTGCTGAGTAGTTGGATTCCGATGCTGTATTTGCTGTGCTTGTGGAAGATAATGTTGGATAGCGCTGGTGCTGCTGTTGTTCTGCATCAAACGCGAGTGAGCATTGACCTTCTCCTAAGCCAGCATGACCTTGCTGGAGTTCTGCCATATTTGGACAGAGGATAGAGTCGGCCATCTCTGACCCATCTGCATTTTGAAATAGACAGCTCTTTTCAAAATCCATATTCATCGGTTGGTCCTGTTGTTGTCGCATCTGCTGAGGCATGTTGGGCGATACAGCTGTTGGCTGCTGTTGCTTGTATCGGTTATTAGCGAAATTCATGGATAGGGATGAATAAAACATGTCTTCTGGTCTGGTTCCACCTAAATGAGGGGCAGCAGCAAATGGATTGGGAATCGTAGGAGTGGTTTCACGATAACTGCTGTCGCTGGAGCTTTTGACGCTGCTTTGACTCCCAGGAATCTGGCCGGTGGTCACTGTAAACGTGCTCGCGTTGTTTGTATTAGGCGATGATTCCAGTGTGTTTTTGTATCGATTTGACTCAATCATAGTCTTGACGAGAAACGAGTTGTGCTGAGCATCGTCGTTTTCGTCCGAATCGTTGCGCTCTGGTTCCCTAGCGCCCATGTCTGAATTCACTACGAGCGAATGGGTTGAACTGCGGTAGCTACTCGAGTCGTCCATCTGGACATCAAAGTTCATGACCAAGGACTGCAGCACCTTCACCACGCGCGTATTCTTGAGATAAGGGTCACCCAGGTAGACTTTGGAGCATCTCAGCAAATGCTGTCTGCCTTGCTCCTTGACAAATTCATTCTCACCTTTGGCGTTGTGTAGAAACACAATAGCAGCCTGGAAGATGGAACTGGAGTGCGGAATAGGAGCATCAAATTAATATTGGAAATAGTATATTAAATTGCATAATTGAACTTACTAAACTGACATGTTCCAGGGTAACGCAACAAAGTAATCTCGTTCCATTGCTTCGACGATACCCAACAAGTTGGTAGCTGTTGCTGTACAGATACTGAGGGCTTTGAAAGCTAAATTGGCGTCGTCTGTCTCTGAATGGTTCCTGATAAACGGTCTGTACAACAGCAACAAGACACATCCGTGTGCCATGTTGACAACGCCAGCAGCTGTGCTGAAATACTGGCTGGGATTGCTCAAATCAACCTGCAACTCTCGCGGTAAGGAGGCCTTCCACATGCTCAAATTGCGATCCAGAATATTGACAAGGTCCAGACTGTTGTGGCGGTTCTGCTTTGCTCTAGTCGAATGAAGACCCACGAGGACTTGGCCTGTGATTTGCGATAACGTTACCAGGTAAACAAATGACGAATAGACAGGTTTGTTTTCACGCAATGCTTCTTCAGCTTCCAATATCAGAATGGGCGTAAATTCCGCTTTTTCTGTTTGCGCTGACGATGTGTAGTTGAGCTCGTAAGGTGTAGGCAATTCTGCGTCGAATTCGTTGTCAATGATAGAGATCGGCCGACCCAATTCAGCTGCAACCCATCGATCCATCAGATAGGCTCCGTACCAGATGCGCTTTCGAAGCTCAATCTCGTAATCTGGAATCAGCCATTTGGAGCAATCACGATGAAGACCTAAATCCTGAGCCATACGAATGGCCATACCTGTGATGAACCAATGGCTGGTATCTTCATCGTCGTTTTCACCGTGTCCCACAAACATACTCAGCAGCATTAGTGCCTGGACAGTGCTGATCATCGATCGCTTGTAAACAATGCTCATCAGCTTGTGCGCCTTGTTCTTTAACGACTCTTCAATTTCGTCCAACTGCTGATTCGACAGGTTGAATACTTTTGCATTGGTGATGTCCGTTTTGAAAATGGTGATGCCGATAAACGCAATGGCAAATAGCAAGTATCTGTCAGGCGGTGAAGGATTGTGATAGTAGTATTGTTCGAGGAACTGCACCTTGTTGATGACTGGACAGTAATTGTGGATACGAGTAAAGTACCTACAGCAGGGTTTCATCAGTCCAATGTCTAGAACAATGCAACTCTCCTCGTGCATACATGTGAACCAAGTAATCAACAAATTCTTGAGTTATATGCGGGGTATCTTCAAACAGCACAACGCGGTTGATTGTGCCATCTTGTCCAGTGTTGAGTGTTGCCTGTAACACCTCTTTGCTCTTGATAATGACATGCTCCTCTTCGTCCTTGTTGAGTTTCTGCACAAACCAGGAAGGCTCTTGTGGAATACGATGCTTTTTGTTGGTGCTGAACAGCTCTTGATTCAGGAAATGCACACCGGAGCTTGCACCGAGATAACGAGTCCGTTGGTAGTCTGTTATGGTGAGCTGCTGCATCTGTGTTTCGATGTCTTGGCAATCCTTGTCTGATTCTAATGAGTATTCTTTCGTGGGGCATATGATGTTGGGTGAAGCTGCTTCATCGTCACTGCCATTGCTCGAATGCTCAGGAAGCGTATCTGAAAGCTCGGTGTCTTCTGATCGTGGAGGTTGGAGAAAGCAAACGTTCTCCATTCGCGAATTAGGGCTGGAACTTCCTCGGTCCATATTAGGTGAATTGTGCTCGTTTTCGTCTGCTGTATTATGGCTCTTTTCTTTAGCCATGTTTTGTAGTAATTTTTCCATACGCAATAATCTGTTCTCCAGCACTTCAACATAGCTCCTACAACATTGGAGGCATATTAGCGACTGCAATCCTCGCCATGACTATACAGGCACGACTCCACTCTACCCTGATGATGGCCCTCGCTTCTTTTGCTCTACAAGAAACTGACATTCCGTTTTTGCTAGTCGACACTTTGTGCAAGGTTGATTGACATCGCTATCACATCGGGTCTTCTTCTTTCTGCACAAGTCGCAGCTACGTTTGGCCCTTGTGCGTTTCTTTCTGTGTATGTCACTTGGTTTGGATGCTGAGATGGGTGCTGCTGGTGCTATTGGAATCATTCCATTGTACATGTTGAGAGATAGAAAGAGAGAGAAAAGACAAGAGCAAGCAGCAGAAAAAATTGCCTTGGCTTTTGTTCCTACAATGAGTTTCAAATCAAGCATTTGGGTTCTACATCAAACCCCATCACAACTGTTCGGGTCAAATTAGACCTGCCATTACGATGAAGCAAGACCGAATGAAACAGCAATGCAGTTTTCCATTATAACAGAAAGCTTGAGACAAGCGTTGACAGCCATATCGCTGTAGCATCAACAGGAGGGATGCCCAATTGAGTGGAAGTAGGATCTGAAAAGAAACTGTTTTTCGGATAGGTGGTATATTGTGTAACCGGGATGCTTACAAATGAATAGTATCTACATCGGTGCTCTAGCTAGGGAGTCAGCGAATGAGATGTGTAAATCAATTGCGTTGCTGTATATACACTCTACCAGGCTGTATTAGCAAATAAGCCTATATCGAGCCTACATCAGATGTCTCGCAATACTCCATGTGTGATACTGGGTGCTATCCACTCGTGGCACAAATGTCCACAGCGGTTCCATGATCGATGAGGCGGTAGTGGTCGTTGATCAACTATAGCCGGGCACCCATCGCCACTGTGAATCGAACGGTGCAAAACAAAATGTCAGAGTGGGAAAAGCAGCAGCGGGAGAGATGGCTGCTTGAGTGATTCCATTACTGCTGCCTTGTATCAGTTCTGATACACCTTTCTAATGGCAGACACGCGTCACAGACTCTTTGTTCAATTCGTTATTCTGCATTGTCGACAACACTCTTCTTCTTGTATTGTTTCAACCGAAAGAGTGAGAGCAAACCCTATATGATGAGCGCCATGGAAATCATAGACGACTCAACACAGATAGCACCCATCGTATCCAATGTTCAGAGCAGCTCTGGTCTTTCCATCTCTGTGTATGTGATGTGTGGACACGTTTGTTTCTAATGCTAACATGATCTTCAGTCATCCTTTAGTCTTGTTGAATATCTCTGATCATTACACACGCACCAAATTGCAGAACCCCACAGCGATTGAGAATGGTATATAATGATGATGGGGCTCAGTCTAGACAGCGTGTATTCACATGGTACATAGGTCGTATGTATGGTGCATTATTGGCTTCTCAGTCAGGCCGTGATGTCGATATCATCAACTCATTTGAGCTTCCATTATCAACCGAGCAAGACGGTAATACAGTGTTGGACAAGGCATTCCTGCTTTATAAGCTGGAGCAATGTAAGTATTATCAAGCATACACAGTGACACTGCATTACAGTACTGATAAATTTATATAGTAAAGCAAGTGTTTCCGAATCTTGACTTTATGGGCTGGTATACACTCGGATCATCCCCTTCCGAAGCCGATTTGAAGCTTCATGAACAGGTAACATAGGCCCACATGAGATGTAGAAAGGGAGGTAGTAACTTGCAGCCTTAAGTTCCTTCAAGTGAGTGAATCAGCCTTGTTTTTACAGATGGATCCCATGGCATTACAGGCAACAGGAGCAGCCAAAGAATTCCCAGTCGACATTTACGAGTCTATCATTGACATTGTGGAAGGAAATACCAGATTAGCCTTTATTAAATCAACCTACAAAGTGGAAACTGGGGAAGCTGAATGTATAGCTGTGGATCATGTGGCTAAGCCCAGCTCATCCAGTGCAGATACTGGCCTTGGGAATACATGTAAGTGCTCAGTGGGTTAATGGATGATGAGATGACTTAATACAGCGCAAATCAAGTGATTGCTCATTTGACTACCCAGAGAAATGCGATTGCCATGTTGAACGCCAGAATCCAGTTCCTCCATCAATATCTTCAGGATACTCAATCTGGTGCCATACCCATTGATCATGATATCATCCGCCAAATCTCTAGTATCTGCAGAAGATCCCCTGTATTGGAGAAATCAGCATTTGATGAACAGTTCAAGACGGTAACGATACGCTCACCAAAGTGATGAGCCATGGTATTAACCTGCAAGAGTAGGAATACAACGATGTTTTATTAGTAGCATATCTTGCTTCCATCACCAAAGGGTTAAACACTGTCAATGATCTTATTGATAAATTCAATCTGGTCAATGGAGGTCATGGTGCGTCAAACAACAAGCCCATTTCAGTCAGTAAAAAGGGAAGAGTAAGTTCCGATTCAAGTCATTTAGCACAAGCAGACACGTTGATTAACCTGTATCTATCTTATAGAGAATTCATATGGCAAGAAATTAAATAAAATGAAAGTTTATTGATATGATAATCAAGGGGGGGGGGGAATTTGGGAGAGGGGGGGAAACAGGGGAATATAGTCATAATTAGATGACAAGGGGGTGATGGCAGTAGGAATAGTATGCTTGTGGTTATAGTTCTAGAGTAGAATGGAATATACAAAGAAAAAAAAAAGGGGGGGGGGAATCTGCTTGGGGAAGGGAATATCATCTATGTGTGTGTGTATGTGTGTGTGTGTGTGTGTGTGTGTGTGTGTGTGTGTGTGTGTATATATTTAGCTGAGTGCTGAAGATAATGAAAGAAACATGACACCAAATCCCCAGATGATAAGCAAACCAGCTGCGATATCCAGGAACCATGTAGGCTTCAAAGAAGCGTACATGCCCAAATCCGGCTCATTGATTTCCTCGCCATCTACAGTAGCAACATCATCATCGAAATTCAAGTGTCTTGCAGAGGAAGATGAGCATGATGCAGTGTCCCACGAGAAGGGTGCCTTTAGGTCGTTTTCGTCAGGAGTCAATGTAGTCGATCCAGTCAATGTAGGGAATACACCAATGAAATTCTTGGGCTGTGAAGAATTCAAAATGGATTGTGAGCTCATATTCTTATAATAGACACTGCGGGTGACAAGATAAGAAGCTGCAGGCAAGATGTAAGCAAGTGTAGTTGCCGAAAATCCACCGACAACGGAGTACACAGTGCCAAGAGATCGCACTGCGACGGAGAGGCCCAGAATGACGGCAAATAAGACGACGGTTACAGTGTAATGCTGTGTGTTAGTAGGTTGTTTGCTTGCAGTCTCGAACCCTAATGACTTTTGAATGGCTTCTCTAGTAGGAAAGATACCCATACTAAAAATAATGCGTGTTTAATATATTGATAGCACGTTTTTTTTTCCTTGTATGACACACTTACGGAATGGTCAAAATCATGCTCACACTGAGCGCAAATCGGCCGACATTAATGAGTGGGTCATCGCTAGCGAAATTCATAAACAAGTTGGATTGCACGTCAGTACCAAAGCACAAGTAGCCGATAATAGCAAAGGTCATGGAGATCAACCAGCTGATACCGGTAGATAAGATGGTAGTTAACTTCCAGCTATGCGTGGATTGGTTCTCCAAGGTCAAAAAATTAGGCAGTGCCACTTGATGGCAGGTGAATGCGAATGCCATGATACCCAATGCACCAAAGACATCAGGTCCGACCCATTCAAGAGGAATTCTCTCTTTAGGAGCATAAGCAGGTGCTCTGATTAAAATCGTGAGAAGAATGATAGGCAAGCATGCCACTGAAATAATGGACCAACGAGCCAAGGAACCAATGGATCTTGACATATTTAATGGTAGCACCTGTTTGAAATGAAGGGAAAAAACGTGAGCGTGATGCTGATAACTGCACTATCAAATGAGACTTACACAAGCGATGCCGACACATATCAGGATGAATGTACGATCACCTAAAATGGGATACTGAGGAAGGTATCTCTGGAATAACAAGGGCAAACTGTCGCCGAGCACTAGAGAACTGCGGTTAAGATGGTGCATCAATGCAAGCAGACAACACTTACATATAAAGTAACTAACAGCACCTCCGCCTGCTTGAACGCAAATCATGAAATTGAGGAAATGATAACCAGGTCTGCCCAATAAATGCTCCACAAGTAATGCGTATTTATAGCTGCCCACTCGCTGCCCTGCAACGACCAGCATGTACAAGCCCATTTGGGCTAATACAGCGACGATGATGGAGGCAAATATGCCGGTAAAGAAGCCAGCATGAGCAATGGCAAATGGCAAGCCAATGATGCCAGCCCCAACTGTAGCATTGACTAGATTGAAGGCAACTTCGACTCTTGTTCTCGATCCGTATCCTGGCCGATCTGATTGGAGCAAGTCTCGTTCTGCTGTCGTCAGATGATACGTTTTCAATGGTGGTGATGAAGGTATAGACCCGTAATTAATGTTGGACATGCTGAAATGATGAAGTAAAAAAAACAAAAAAAAAAACAAAAAAAAAGAGAGAGAGAGAGATTTATTCAAAGATACGATGAGATCTTTTATAGACAATCAGAAATAAAAAAGGGATTAGTTGCCTTTTAAAGTACTTCAGTTGTCGTAGTGAGTATCATGAACGCATGATTTTTGCCTATCAGTGTCATTGAATATTCCATTTTTAAACATGACTCAATAGGAGATAGAGACAGAGATGGAGTGAGACAAGGGATTACTGCTAGCTATTGCAATAATGATCCGTTCGGCATGATATAATAGCTGCTTATGGCAAAGACGCAGAGAAATTCAGGGAGCAAACGTGCTGATCTAAATCAAGTAAGAAAATGAAAGGGACCTATCATAATATCAGAAGATTTCGACAAAGCAAATCCATCAAGAATTTGAATTGATTGGCTGTGAGCATTTTCTATCTATTGTATAGTATTAAGAGATCAACCCCTCTCCTTTCTATTATATAGCGATGATGATGATGATGATGATGATGATGATATACTCCTCCTGACTTTATATACTTGATACATATACAAATACATATATAAAAGACATTCAATATACATTCTCCCTATACTTTGATTGTGCTCACTCGCTCAGATATGTGTGTATAAATATATCCAGAATTACTCTTTATTACAAATTTGTATAATCACAAGAAAGTTTGAAATGTTTACCCATCTTTTTGTTGATATATGGCAACATATAAACAACCGCAGTGGATCATCCTGCCCCACTTATTTCTGCCTTTTGAGACAGCTGATGAACCACCCTAGTTCAGTAACCATCATCTTTTCTTGTTACTTGAAATTCATTGTTCCGAATGACCAAATGCTATCCTGTATTTTGATAATGTTGCTTAATGAATCATGTTATCATCATCTTTTTTTTTTTTTTATTTCTTTACATCATGCCTATACCTAAACCGCGCTTACTATTCGGAATGAATTGCCTGGCAAAATGTGTTATTTTCATAGGATCTCGTCAGGTACATCAACTATCTTAGCAAACATGGCATGAAATATACTTTGCTCATTTGCAGTAGATTATACGAAATGACCAGATCTCCCCCCCCCCTTTTGATTCGTCCAAAGTAATCTCATTCGTGCCTGACATTGTTTCTGTAGAGCACAGGATTTTGAATACTCAATCTCCTTATAGAGCAACTGATTAGATACACTACAATCATGTAAGCACCTCTGATGACATCGATTCAGCCTGTTATAAACGCGTAATCTATAAGCGCAAGAAAAAAGTTCTTGCTAATTTTAATAGTCAGTCAAAGGTCAAACCTACATACGTATTCTACAACGACATCTTCTTTATCCTTTAACAATTAACATATATCAATCATGAGTCTGAAGAAAGGAGAAGTTAATCTTGGTGTAAAGTAGAGACGCACTTGAATAACAAGATGGCCATGTACTAAACTTCTCCAATAGACTTCCATCATGGCAGTTGCCTTCAAAGATGGTGTAATTCTTGGTGCTGATTCACGTACAACCACTGGTGCTTACATTGCCAACAGAGTTACCGACAAATTGACCAAAGTTCATGACACTATTTACTGTTGCCGTTCTGGCTCTGCTGCCGATACTCAAGCAGTTGCCGACATTGTTCATTACTATCTTCAGATGTATTCGTAAGTTGCGGCTCATTCTGGAAGACTAAATGCAATCATGCTAAAGTAGATTGTCAACATGTAGTGTAAATGAAAACGAAGCTCCTTCTGTTCATACAGCTTCTGCTCTCTTCCAAGAAATGTGCTATCAAAACAAGGATAATTTATCTGCAGGTATCATTGTTGCTGGTTGGGACAAGACAGATGGTCCCTCTGTATATAATATTCCCCTTGGTGGTTCCTTACACAAAGCTCCTTTTGCCATCGGTGGTATGTGTTGAATCTGTATCCATTTCATAGTAGTTCGTTTAATCAATGCAATGCACGTGTAGGCTCTGGATCAACTTATATCTACGGTTACTGTGATGCAAACTATAGAGATGATATGGCTCGCGAAGAGTGCGAAACTTTTGTCAAGAATTGTAAGTGTTTATAGATGATGGGTCACTGTAACTATTACTGACATGATACGTGAAATAGCTCTGTCATTAGCAATGTCTCGTGATGGCTCTTCAGGTGGTGTTATTCGTTTAGCTGTTATTACAAAAGATGGTGTCGAGAGATTGTTCGTTCCTGGAAACGCTTTGCCTGGTAACTACGAAGATTCAGGGATAATCGATGTGTTTGTAAACTAACTTTTTTTTAATAGTTCATTGGGAAGGATAAGTTGAATTGAAGCATTAAAATATAATAAACCACGGTAAAAAGATTGTAAAGTAAATTGCTGTTTTGCTAGCTCGTGTGGGATGCTGGGCAGAGATGCCATTGAATGTGTGATGTAGGCTTGCATTGACAACACAATGCGCTTCATTTTCTATTTGGACATGATCCAGATTGTTATCGCTCGTGTATGATTACGGAATTCCTTCATGTTCCTACCCAGAACTAGTGTAATTAATATCTTTTGAGATCATTTCCTGCAAGCATTCAATAGGATGGCATTCGGCTGCCTTCAAAATCATTATTCTCGAGTCCTGATTTTAATGGGATAACACTAGCTGGCTGCTACAAAGTTCGCTTGAGCTTCTTGGCAGACCTGAGGTTGGGTATTGACCAGTTATCAAAGTCATAAAATACCTTGAAATTCTACTTTCAGCCTATTGCTCACTTGAGAACTCTCTATCGCTGCGGGTATTTCTTTTCTATAATGCTCCAAGTTTGTATTTATGCGAACAACTTGTATATTGGTACAAAGCATAGCAGCACTACCTGCGACTACTCAAAATTATGCAAAACACAGCAAACGTTAGGTGCTTTGAGCCGTGTTTTCTCGCTTTAGAGGCTGTTTCAGACTGCCGGAAAAGTACCAAACAGTTTCTCTGATGTAGTACTTGCTTGCTGTTACCTTTGCTCCGTTTTTTTGGGATCGTCAAAATTCGACCAAAACCCATGAGGGATACCTCATGGTTTTCATCAATAATCGAACGATCGCGTTTTTGACCCCAAAAACGAAGACTTTTACTATGGCATATATTGAATCAAAATGATTGTATCAATTTAAACTAACCCCTAGAAACACTTTTGTGAAAACTTAATATGCAAAATCTCGACATTTTAGCGAAAAACCTCATTTCATATTTTCAAATATTGCTCAATAAGTTTGTACAAAACACCTCTCATAGTTAGTATCATTGAATTTGTCTTGAAAAGAACTCCAAGAAAGTTTAAGGAAGCACTGCGTAATTATCACATTTTACCTAGTCGAATCTTGCAAAATAGTTTAAATTGATTCAAAATCGACCACATTTGGCCAATCTTGGTCGAAGCAATTTGTCGGAGATATAACCGTTTTTGGCAGCAGTTAGTAAGCAATGCCATGACCGCTGTGGAATTAATTGAAGCTCTTGCATGCTCATAAAGGGAGAGTTGCGAATCTTAGAAGCCATATTCTAGTATAGCTACCTTTCTGTTTTTATGGATCCTCATATCTGATGGGTTTATTTGTAGGGAATACGAATCTTAGTCCATGATAACGTTTATTACGATTGCCAGATCCAATGTTTTTAAGTATATTACCTTGATCATTTTGTTGCAATAGTTTTAATACAAACACACTATGCAACTATACTCTTCAAGTTTGATAAACATTCTTGAAGGTTATATGAGCAAATATTTTGACAGTTTCCAGAGTAGAGATCAGCAAAAAGCAGACGTCCAACCAAATAGCTGTTTAGTCTGTCAAACTGAATCAGTTATGCAGAACGCATAGTTTACCTCCTTTGGACGTCTATAGAAGAGGTCACTTTAGAGTGAAAAGCACAGGGAGCATGTCTTTCTCACAAAGTGCAGAAAAATGCAAGCTTATGACCTTAGAAACTGCTTGGTGATGTCCTGAGCTTTGGAAGACGTTGGAGCATGCTTGCTCTAATAGCATCGTCGGTAGCGTTGAACGGCTGACCGTATGGTTTCATTGAATATTTGCATAATACTCCAGCTGTCTTATCACTAGTCTTTTGGCATAGTGACATTGTAGAACTAACTTTTTCATTGATAGAGTATCAAAGCCATCTAGTTACTGAAGAGATGTGACGGATCCGCTTGATTGCATGGTAAATGCAACCTTCTGGCTTTGTTTCCGTCACATTCTTGCGTGGTATCTCTATATGTAAAGCATTCTGAGACATTCGCTCTTGATGAAAGCAGAAACTTTGATAACAAAACCAAGACTGATAGACAAACAGTAATCCGCAACATCAATCTTATGTGGAGGATTGCATAGAGGCATGCTTGTAGTGACTGTTCGAACAAAATTTTCTAGCAAACCCAAATGTTGAAATTGGACATCAGGATCCATAACTGCCTTGTTTTCCCTTTCTTCAATACACTTCTTACACTATGCGTAGTTTGGAACTCTTGGGACAAAGATCCTCCAAGGTCACCAGTTCAGAAATCAAAGGAAGATCCTTCATTGCAACAGATCCCGAATCACTCACGGTCTATGTTGCTTTTGAAGATGAGCAATCCAACATTCGGGTTGCAGCCACCAATTTAGCTCCAGGCGATCCCAATGCCTTTATAGAGCTTGGCCGTTGCCCTGCATCAGCTATTGTCAGCTTCACCTTTTTAGCCGACTTGCAAGTGGTTTGTCTCTGTACTTATAATGGCGATATCATGCTCTTTAGTAAAGAGCGTTTCGAGAATGGAGATGAAGCAGTATGTATACAGTCTTGTTTTGACAGGTGGGAGATGCATTGACATTAACATTCACTTGTTAGATGGAAATTATGGGTTCTGTTGATTCTGGGATTCATGCCATGTGCTGGAGTCCAGACCAGGATTTGGTTGTTCTGGTCACAGGTAAACATCATGCAGAACATGTCAATCGAGCCATCACATCATAACCATCTTGATGACAGGTGAGAAGAAGGTGCTGGAAATGACACAGGATTTCGATACAATCACTGAATTCGACCTCCATATTGAGGACCAAGGAGAAGGCGTGCAACACAGTGTAGGATGGGGCAGCAAGGAGACTCAGTTCCATGGCTCAGCAGGCAAAGAAGCAGCAAAACAAAAGGTGGATACCAGTAAATTCGGCACTTCAGATGACGACGATGCCAGACCTCGTGTTTCATGGAGAGGCGATGGCAGTTTCTTTGTCGTTTCAGACATTGATCCCAGTAGATCAGCCCGTGTCATTCGTATCTTTAATCGTGAAGGCACATTGCAAAACACCAGCGAGCCGGTGGACAAATTAGAGCAAGCATTGGATTGGAGACCTTCTGGAAACTTGATCGTATCTAGTCAGCGCTTGCCTCACCGTCATGACATTGTGTTTTTCGAGAGAAATGGCTTGAGACATGGCGAATTTACACTGAGAGAGACCAAAGATCAAACACAACGGGTTTTGGAGGTATCTTGGAATGCTGATTCTACTATTCTTGCAGTTTGGATTGAGTCCGTCAACACAAATGGCAAGCTACAAAAAACAGTGCAACTGTGGACATCCAAGAATTATCACTGGTACATGAAACAACACGTTGTACTCTCCGAGGACAGAGATATTGCTGGATTTGCTTGGGATGTCGAAAATGCGCTGATCGCTCATGTATTCAGTAACTCTGGCGATTATCAACGACTCGCTTACACATGGGGTGTATACACTAGCACTTCCATTGACGAATCTAACTCGGGATATGTTGCAGTGATTGATGGATCTCAATTGTTATTGACACCCTTCAGTTACATGAATGTGCCTCCACCCATGAGCTCGCTTACCGTCTCGACACAGAGTAACATCCAATACGTCGCTTTTGGACCACAAGCGAATGGATTGAAGATTGCTGTACTCACCAATCAAATGATCCAATTGTTCGACTTACCTGAAAGAGGCCATGGCGATGCTCCTCTTATTGGACAACTCGCTCTACCCGAGATCACTGCTAGCAACGAGACCTATGCAAAGAATCCCATTAGACAACTGTGTTGGATCAGTGAATCAAAGCTTGTGTACTGTCAATACGACGAGGAACTGCAAACCGATATGCTCTGCGTCGCTTCATTCACCTTGAGCAATGAAGCCATGTCTGTATCAGCCAACCCTTTGGATGGACATATTGGACGCATCTACTACAATGCTACAACTTTGGATTTGATTGTGGAAGGAGTAGACGGATCTGTGTTCAATATCGAATTAGACGAGGATATGCCTACTGTCAGCCGTATTGAACAGTTCCCTGATTTCTGCCCTTGGATTGCCACTGCTCGTGTCGGCGCCAGCAGTGAACAGACTGAACGTGCCATCATTGGTTTGACCGAACGCAGCAAACTCTACATCAATGATAAGCTCATCTCTTCAGAAGCTACGTCGTTCTTCTTGCGCGGCACATGGTTGGTGTTCTCCACTACAAGTCATTCCGCAAGATTCTTGGCCTTGGATAGTGCATCTCTACAAGACTTGAAGCTCTCAGATGAAGCTGGTGATGCTTACGACGAAACCTCTAGACGTCTGGAACGTGGCTCCAAGATTGTGATGGCTACTCAGCACAAGCCTTCGCTTGTTCTTCAAATGCCTCGCGGTAATCTGGAAACCATCAGTCCTCGTGCCTTTGTTCTCGCCACTATTCGTGAAGACTTAAAGGCTCTGAACTTTCGCTCTGCCTTTGTTGCCTGTCGTAAAAACCGCATCGATCTCAACATTCTTTACGACGATAGTCCTGAACGCTTTGTTGAGAACATCCGTACATTCATCGAGCAAGTGCCTGAAGTAGATTACCTCAACTTGTTTCTGTCCAATCTTCGCAATGAAGATACACTGGTTACCATGTATCGTCGCGGTGGTCGCACTGCTGATCAACTCACTGCTGCTACTGGCGTGGAAAACAAGGTGAATAACATCTGTGAAGCTGTCCGCAACGTCTTGATTGAGCTTGGCCGTGAACACTATATCCAATCTATTCTGTCCACCTATGTCAGAAGCTCGCCCCCTGATATTGAATCTGCAATGGCTCTGTTATCTGAGCTTCGTGAAACCAACATGGCAGCTGCTGAAGATGCCTTAAAGTATACCATTTTCCTGTGTAAGGCTGCTTCGTTGTATGATGTCGCTTTGGGTATGTACAATTTCCCTCTCGTACTCATGGTCGCTCAGCAAGCGCAAATGGATCCCAAAGAGTATCTTCCCTTCTTGCAAGAATTGAAGAATTTTGAAAAGTACTATCAGCGCTACAAGATTGACGACCATCTGAAGCGTTATGAAAAAGCCATCAAAAACCTCAGTATGGCTGGTGATCAGCACTTTGATGAACTGCTCGATTACATGCAAAAGCACTCTCTTTATCACGTGGCCATCGAGGAATACGCACATAGAAAGCAACAAAAGCTGGCTATTTTGCAAGTGTATGCTGCTCATCTTGATTTCACAAGCAACTTTGAAGAAGCTGGTATTGTCTATACCATGGCTGGCAACTCTGTCAAGGCACTGGAGTCCTATCGCATGGCTGGCTGCTGGAGAGAGGCATTCTCTATTGCAAAGCAATTGAAATACACTGAAGAGGAGATTCACTCGTTGGCCTATGACATGATTGAGTACCTGAAGGAGAAGCGTAGATTCCAAGATGCAGCCATGGTTGCTCGCGATTACGCCAAGGATATCGAGGAAGTCGTTGATTGTCTGTTGAAGGGCAGTTTTTGGAAAGAGGCTGAACGCACATCTTATACACATGATCGTCCTGATTTGATTGAGACTCACGTCAAGCCTGGACTCGTTGAAGGATACACACAGATGGATGATGACATTGATGAAATGCTGGCGCAATTCCATAAGCAAAGCGCACGTTTGGTCGAGCTGCGTACCAAGAAGCCAGAAGTCAATATTGAGAATACCATGGCAAACGATGAGTCTTTGGATAATATCGACATGTTCTCAGACACAACATCCATGTATAGTCAGTTCACAAGATATACGAATGCATCTTCAAGAGTGTCCTCAGTGTCCTCTCAAGGATCAAGTAAATCAAGAAAGACATCTAAACTTAGAAAGAAGGAGGAACGCAAGAGAGCTCGCGGAAAGAAGGGTTCCGTGTTTGAGGAGGAATACATTGTCAACTCTGTCAAAAAGCTTATAGAAAAAGCCAGTACTATGCAAAGTAAGTGTGTTCATTACAGAGCTTTTCAGTGTATACTGATATGTTGTGTTTATAGATGATCTCGGTAACCTGATTCGCGCTTTGGTTCCATTCGAGTATGTTGAAGAAGCAAGAGCCATCCAAGAAAAGTTTGAAAAGTTCATCAAGGAGCTCGAGGCATCCATAGCCACCGTTTTTGTGCCTTTGCAGCTCACTGTTAGCTTGGTAAGTGGATATAAAGATATCAAGAGTGATTGCTAATGCAATTTCTGTACAGTATGCTACATTAGAAGAATACGAGGAGGCCAAGAACAACCCCAAGATCATTGATAAACCTGTCATTGCCAAGGTTGACTGGAAGCTTCAATTATTGTAAACACTCGCTTAGTCTTGTCTGCATCTCTTTTATCTATGTGTATCATAATATATAAGAAAAATTTAATAGAAATAAACGAGTTTTGCAGCATTTCATTAGTGCAAAGATCGCTGTAGTCTTGAACGGGACAAATATCCAAAATAATCTGCTGGTGCTTGGAACATTCTATTATCAATCACTGCAAATGAAGGCCAAGATTTGTCTAGTACATGCTAAAGGTTTTATTATTAGATGAAAGAAAGAAAGTACAAGAATAATCAAATATTTCCCCTTGAGGAGAAAATGTTCTAAATGGATACGAGGTGTTTAAGCTATTGAAAATGAAACAATGTAAGGTTTGAAATTAAATGTGAGTTGATGATGGGTAAAAAGGTAAAACAATGTGTGTTTTAGATGCGAAATGATTTACAATCCCTTCTTCTTTTGAAGGCGTTTCTCTTCGGCTTGACGAGCACGGTAAGCACGATACTTGGTATCAGTGCCAAGAAGGTAATCCCACCAACGGAAACTGGAGGCATAGTTACCAACAAAGGCCATGTGGTGGTAGTCATGGTGATCAGCACCAGCCCAGAAGGGAATAAAGTGGCGAGCAGACCAAGGGAAATCATAGCCAGAGTGACAATCAATGGCTTGGAAGAGACGGCAAGTGATCCAGAAGAGCATGGTGAACATGTGAAGCTGCCAATCACGAGTGCCGTGGAAGTAATGAGTTTCAACGAAATGATAGATGAGGGGACCGCCAATGGTACCAAAACCGAGAATTGAAGTTTCCAAAGGATGAGCGTATTCAGCGGCAATACCAAAGGGAGCAGCATATTCGTGATGAACTTTGTGGATGGACTTGTAAAGAGGAGGCCAGTGCATGAGTCTGTGCACACAGTAATGGAAGGCATCTTCAAAGACAAAGAAGATGGCAATTTGGGGCCAAATGTGTTTCCTGCAAGAAACAGATTAGAACAAATGTTCTCGTACCCACATACTCTGATTCCTCATCACACACAAAAAAAAAACTTACCATTGAGGGAAAGGGGCAGAGATGTTCATGCCCAAGTAGGTAGCAGCAGGGTGAAAAAGGAAGATGAGAGGAGCTTCATAGAGGAAATGCTGATAGAGAACTTCCTTGGTGCATTTCCAGTAATCAGCAGAGGTGTTGACCTTGTTTGGTTGAATCTTGTATTGCTTAAAGTAAGGAATAAAATCACACAGAAGGAAAGGAAGGAAACGGCCAAAATAGACGAGTTCGTGCATGACAAAGGCAACAGTGCCAGTGACAAGCAAAGGATTGCGGCCTTCGTAGAGTTGTTCCCATTGATTCTCTAACCAACTTAATTGATATGGCTCACCTGTAGCTGCCAAAGTAGAATTCATTATAAGAATAAATAAGAATTAAATACGGTAATAAATTAAGCAGGAAGAAGAAAAAGAAGATTACAAGCAGAGAAAAGGTCAAATCAATCCTTATTTAAGTGCAATGACCATTCGGTATGCCACACCGAAAATGACTGTTCTGCTCTAATAAATGTCAAATGGGGTGATGTTTTTCTGCGGATGTCTAATCATACACTTGCTATTCTATGTACATTGAACGCTTGTTGGCATCTACTCGGACAATAAGCTTGTCTGGACTTCATCTGTACACATACACATTATGCTCTACTTCGGATACAAAGGCTTTCGACATGGCTAGCAATGCTTTCCCAGCCATTGTCGATTGTGCCTGTATTCTGGCATTGCCAATGATGTGCCCTATCTTTTTATCAATCAAACCATATTCTGCTGCCATTCATTCCGGATCCAATGATACCAAATTGAGATCGTTGAATCAAAAGGGGTGGAAAAAGCTTAAAACAATAAGGCTTTTTTTAAAAAATCTACTCGACATTGTCTGTACAAAGTTGAGTGTAACATCATAAGCGTTGTAATATGTCAATGGGTGGTTGCACACCAGCAATGCAGCCACTGGTATGGCTTACTCATCAAGTGGCCCACTTGTATACATATTGCCACCCAAGCTAAAGCCACCAGAAAATTTGCAATGCTTGAGTTTTCCTCATTATCTGATTAAAGTAAAACCCCAGGTGGTTTTTTTTTCTGTATTATTCAGGTTGTTAATACGCTGCATTTAGTTACTATTCGTTCACAATGAACGTTTTATACAGATATGCGCAGTAAAGTATTGTTGCTAGGTGGAAGCATGGGGATGATCTAGTTCTATCTACATATTCAGATGCAGGTTTGATCGAATGTGTTCTCAGTATGGTAATGCGTACATTTGACAATGACCTGTATTTGAATACTAGCCGATCTATCTCGCTACACTCGATGTCGGCATCGCCCTGTGGACTCTCGCCAAAGACATTTTAAATTAGTTGTAATAAAATTTTAGTATATCAAGTAGATTTTAAACAGTCAATTTTTAGTAAAAGAAAAGTTATATCAGAACCAGGAGGTGGAGGAGAGGAGACATCTCTCTCAGCGCCCCTTTTGCTTATACGCTGATATCAAACGAAGCCTATTATTATTGAGACAATGTGAAAGAAAATTCAAGTTTTATGCAGCAGTTTTACTACACAATTTCCATTCTCTGATAGTAGAGTTGTCATACCATTTGCTGCTGTTGCTGCTGCTCTTAAGATGTCGACAAAAAGCTGGCCATGCGCAAATATAGGACTTGTGTAAGATCTCTAGCGATTTTTTTTAGAGATATAGCCATTGCAAAAGACCCCTTTATTTGTGAGGCAAAACCCCCTTAAAAATATATTTGGGCTAATCAATTGTCCTTTCAACTCCATTGTCCCCATTCAATCGCATCGCAATCATTATTGTCATCATCAGAAAGGCATTTGAGCCAGCCAGCCGCCAGAGTTCATTCAAACTCAGTTTTTTTTTCTATTCAAGATTGGACAGATATTGTATTTTTTCGATTTCTTTAATTCATTTTATGATATTCGACTATATAAACTGTGAGGATCACCCTTCGCTTCCTAATACAACTCATAGCGACATTTACAGGACTTTAAATAAAAACTGGAGCTCGTCTCCCCTACAAAAAAAAAAAAAAAAAAAAATCGCTTCCTAATACATTCTTGAAGTACTTTTCAAGGCGATTCCAGTGGTTCTAACTGTAATAAGTGTTTTGACTGAAATTATTGAACAATTTAATAAGAATTGAAATGAGGTTTTTAGCGAAAATACCCATGTTTTGCATATGAAAACCTCATAAAAGTGGTTTCAGAAGTTGCTTTGGATCGAGAGAAACATTTTTATTTAATATACTATAGTAAAAGTCTTCATTTTCAAGGTGAAAAACGCGATCATTTGATTTTCGATGAAAACCATGAGGTACCCCTCATGGTCAAGACTCGATTTTTGGTTATATTTTTCTTGATCTCAAAAAATTGAGCAAAGGTGCCTAAAAGTTATTACTACTCAAGTACAATTGTTTGGCATCATTCCAGAGGCTCATAAAGGTCTACATGTCAAAATATGAAAGCTTGAAAGCTGTCAAATTTAGTTATGTATTGCTTTATAGAGTTTATTTACAATGCATAAACCACGTTTTCGATAGCTGTAATTTACTGAAAGATCATTTCTATAGCTTGCGCAATTTTTAATTCGAATAGGAGACGCATTGATTTTGATAAAGCTGATTCATGCAAATTTTGATGCGCTATGGTGCTGGTAAGCTTATTAACAATGGAAATGAAAATCCGAATATGCTGCTTGAATACTCTGATTTTGCACCTTTGCTTGGCTGCGGTAAAGCCGTCATTAAAACCAATATTGTCAAGTATTGGATCCGATACCTAATTAACATGGCTTTGCACCTTTCCTTCGCTACGATAAACCCCCCCCCCCTCATTGTTGTCGGCTTCTCTGGTGGTTTTATTCACCTTTGTCCAGCTCTCAATTCTTTAGAATTATATTTAAAAGAATGTGATTGACTTTTTTTTAAATCATAGTTTTCCATTATATATAGTGAAGATCATATGATCATCCAATCAATCAATTTTGCCTGGAGAGATGATTGCAGGTCCAGAACGCGTGCGTCTCGGCATTTCTCGTCCAATACGACGCAAGGTCTTAGAAAACTGGCATACATTGCATAATTGTATCGCTTATTACAGAGCAATCAATCCCAATATCTGTGCCCATACTTTAAATAGCAATTCTGGTCAGGTAGGTCAACTTTCTTCTGTCTCATTATAATAATAATAATCCATGATTTAATCAATCAAAATAAATCTATACAAAATGAATGTTTCTAAGGCTAAAAGAGAGAGAGAGAATTTTAGAGGGGTATCACTATTTGTTTGTGTAAGCGTATCTATGTATTTAAAAGAATAAAGTTTGACAAAATTCCTCATTGGAGACGTCATGCCAAAATGCCATTGCGCTCATTACGCCAAAGTAATGAGCTAACACTGCAATTGTCACACAGATATGGAAGATTTGATGTGAAGCGCCCTAATGATCGCCCCATGTTAGACCATATAATCAAGATGCTGCTACAAGGATACTTACAAAAATGTTGAATTTACCAGGCATGACACGCTCAGGGAATCGACAGCCATAGATCAAGGCACCAGCAATGTATGTAGTGGCCATGAGTGCCATATGACCCAGAGCAATGGTTTTAGTAGCATTGTTCAACTACAAGTAAAGCAAAGCCATCAGTACATGTACTGTTTTCCATTCGATATCAGACACACTTACACCATAGATCCAAATACCATGGAAGGTAGGAATCAAGCCAAACAAGCCCAATGCCATGAAGAGTGAGGCACGAATCCATCTATAAGCAGGTGTTCGGAAGTGCTTCATCAATGTGACAGCAGCCTATTAAAACACTCAGTTGCATGTTCCCCTCAAACAGCTCGGCATACTTACAGTGACAGATCCCAATGAAACAATGATTGACAAATAAACAACTAAACGGCAATCCTCCAATTAGCATATGATCACCGTAATCTATACTACTGCCTCAATGCTTACCTTGTAAAATGTGATGGCAATGAAATCCATAGTAGATGACAGGGAAAAAGGAGCCACTATGCCAATAATCCGGAATTAGCATCCTATCTAAACTTTTAAATGTGTCCACTTACACAATAAGACAAGTGATACCGGCATAATCACATCGATTCCATGTAGCAGCTACTTTTTCAGAGTGGCATGAAAAACAGTGAAAACTAGCACTGAAACCCAAACACAACAATGCGCCTACAATGAACAAGAAGAAATAGGTGATATCGAACGTAGTTAAAGTCTCTTGAAAGGGCTGTGACCACAGAAAATGAATTCCAAAACCAACAAACAGTATAAATGTCAATAAATGGCTCCAGATATTCACTGTAAATGCAACCTTCAGTACTTTCTCCTTTCCACACGAGCAACCCAGTGTACGTACCGCTCTCGTTATGCAGATAGCCCAAACTTTTTACGCAATCCCAGTAGTTGTTGGTTTGACGTCTATAACCACCGGTAATGTAGACATTGTCCTGCATCCAGGCGGGAATCTCATGCCAGCTTAATATAAGTTTTTCAGGTGGACTGGGTAATAATCTGTCTGTATCTCGACCTTGATCATCCTTTTGCTTTTGAATATCAGAGTTGATAGCTTGACTTGTATTACGCTGCTGAATTGCCATGGTATCTCGATAGAGTTTATGTTAAAGAAGTATATTACGTCGTTTGATATATGACACCGGCTTATATTTATATACAAAAAATCAAAATTGCCCCCAATCTTTGGCAAAAGAGAAGATCTGTGACTCCAAATAGGTTGATTAAGGTCCCAAACTGAAAGCATTTGCTCTAATTGGACACGAATTACTTGCATATGAAAATTCGCATGTGGAACGGCCAACAAACGTTGGGCTAAAGCTTTGATTATCTGACATCAATTGCTTGGTATTCTTGTCGAGCACAAGATTGTATTATTATGTCTATATTTGATCAATTTTGATAGGGTTGCACATCACAATGTACCGTCCTTTTAGGATAACTTGTTACAAACAGCAATGCTACTGCTTTCTTGCCATACATTTCTATAATGATCAACGTCATTGGCATCTCACAGATGAATTTGTTTCCATGTGATTGCTGTTGAAAAGAAAGGAATTATAGCTTCAAGTTTTATATGAAAAATTAGTAGTTTTATTAGAGCCATCTTGGCAGTATTCCATGATAGCATTGGCTTTTGAGAAGATATAGTTCTTTTGCTGAATGCATTATTGGTTCCTGAATTGCTCTCTTTCATAAGTTGAGTGTGCTTCTGCGACGAAATCAATATTAGCACTATGCATCTTTTGTGCAGTTGGTGTTATTAAACACGACGCAGAAAATATGATGCTGTATATTTTGTATTCTTGGTACAAGCAATTTCTATTTTTACTACTATTTGATTTTGCCATGCTGCCAAGAGCATCTTGTACAGTAGATATATCAGGTAGCCGATCAATCTCGCTACGCTCCATGACGGCGTCGCCCTGCGGGCTCTCGCGCAAGACATTCCAAATCAGAGATAATAAATTTCAGGCATATCAAATAGATTTTAAACAAGCAATCAATAGTAAAAAAAAAAAAAAAAAAAAAAAAAAAAAAAAAAAGGCTATATAAGAGTTAGGAGGGAGAAGTATTCAGTCGCTGATGTTGCTCTTGAGATGGTGACATAATGCTGGCCATACCTAAGTACTATAGAACTTGTGTAAGATCTACAGCGACTTTTTCGAGATATTGTCATTGCAAAAGACCCCTCTATAAGGAAAACTCCCAAGAAAAAAAATTATTTGGGATAATCATTTGTCCTTTTAACTTCATGATCCCCATTTAACCAGTATTGCAATCATCTTTGCCATTTACATCATTGTCATCATCAGAAAGGCATTTGAGCCAGCCAGCAGCAGTGCTGCCCACCGCCGTCGCCAGAGTTCATTCAAACTCAGTTTTTTTTTCTATTCAAGATTGGACAGATATTGTATTTTTTCGATTTCTTTAATTCATTTTATGATATTCGACTATATAAACTGTGAGGATCACCCTTCGCTTCCTAATACATTCTTGAAGTACTTTTCAAGGCGATTCCAGTGGTTCTAACTGTAATAAGTGTTCTGACTGAAATTATTGAACAATTTAATAAGAATTGAAATGAGGTTTTTAGCGAAAATACCCATGTTTTGCATATGAAAACCTCATAAAAGTGGTTTCAGAAGTTGCTTTGGATCGAGAGAAACATTTTTATTTAATATACTATAGTAAAAGTCTTCCTTTTCAAGGTGAAAAACGCGATCATTTGATTTTTGATGAAAACCATGAGGTACCCCTCATGGTCAAGACTCGATTTTTGGTTATATTTTTCTTGATCTCAAAAAATTGAGCAAAGGTGCCTGGAAGTTATTACTACTCAAGTACAATTGTTTGGTATCATTCCAGAGGCTCATAAAGGTCTACATGTCAAAATATGAAAGCTTGAAAGCTGTCAAATTTAGTTATGTATTGCTTTATAGAGTTTATTTACACGGCATAAATCACATCTTTGGTAGTTGGAACTTATTAGAAAGGCAGTTCTGTAGCTTGCGCAATTTTTAATTCGAATAGGAGACGCATTGATTTTGATAAAGCTGATTCATGCAAATTTTGATGCGCTATGGTGCTGGTAAGCTTATTAACAATGGAAATGAAAATCCGAATTTGCTGCTTGAATAAAATGATTTTGCACCTTTGGTTACGATAAAACCCTCTTTATAGGCCAGTGTTATCAAATGATGAATTAGATGCTTAGTCTCCATGGTTTTGCATCTTCACTTCGCTACGGTAAAACTTTTATATAAATTAGTGCTTTCAAGTGTTGAATTAGATGCGTTATGCTCTTTGGGGGGGGGCTTCATGTTTCTTGTAAACTGTTATCAGTCGATTTTAGATCTTTCAATGGCTCTGCAAGTGAGGTCTTTAACCTGGTATTATACATTTGCTTGCGAATCTCTTTGCGAAGCACACTTTAAATGACAAGCATTTGACATCTGATTGAAACCAGCTTGCCTACCTAAAAACACATACTTTTAAAACTTTCTGTCTGTTAATTGCTTCCCTGTTTGTCTTGAACCAAACGTTTGGCGCAAGAAATACTGCTTAACAGCTTGCTTACATGTGATACTTGCGCTCTCTGGCAGAGTTAAACATCTTGAATTTTTTTTTGATAGCTTCTTAATTTCCACATCTTTAACGTTTTAAGGACAATGAGTGTCTTTATGACTTCTTCATTGATGTTGTTGTAGCAATGGGCACTGTTAAAGTCTTCTCTTATAGATACAGATGAGACCACCCCCTTTCTCTTGTTCTCTTTCTCAATCTCTTATCCTTCCATTTACATACATACACACACACACACACACTCTCTCTCTCTCTCTCTCTCTCTACCAGTAAAGATTTTCATCATTACTATTTTCAATCAGCACAAACTCTTCTGAGCCCAAGGCGGCATTCTTACGTTTGAAAACGACCTTCAGGATTTAATGAATTGAATTCGCGACTAGTACTGACACATATTTTTCTGTTTAGTCCATCAACTGATTTAAATATAATAGATGCCCCATCGTTGGAGTTATTCGCTCAAATTATTCGAAATCATGATTTTCAGCATTTGAATATGAAATCCAATGCTAGGATTATTCAATATGAAAATAATTCATTTTAATCTACCACAGTCTCGCCATCTTCTGCTGCTTTGTCATCTCCTGTTGTCTTGCCCATCCTGATTGCCCGATCCCTAGTGGATGTTTGTTTATCTATCATTAGATCTACAGCTACTACTAAAGATACGGTTGTACCAGTACAACAACAGCAACAAATACTGAATAATACTCCAAAAAAGGCCAATCATGATGAAATTTAGGAGATGCTACAATCAAACTTTCAAGACCAAGACGACGATAGGACAGCCTTCAACAATCCATCTGATATTGAGTGTTCAATTTAAACGTAAAAAATCAATTAAAAATAAGCAATGAATAAAGACTAGTTGTCAAATGTTTTTAAAGTGGAAGGAAAGAGTATTTTTATTACAATGCACTTAGCTGGCGTAAATATGATAGACTCCTAATCAGTCACTGCTACGTTGAAATAACATAAAAATAGCAAAGCAATAGATTAATATATTTAAGCGTGAAGCATATTGCTTGTTGGTTGAAGAGACATCACCCAAGTCAGCTTGTTTCATGTGATATTGGCGGAACTTGACATTTTGGTATTAAGCAGCTTGAACCTACTGTCGTTTGTGAGATATCCGAATACACCCAACCGACTGTAAACACAGATGTGGTATGATGCAAACAATAGAATCCTTGCAACTACATGGTAGGATTGGTTTGAGAGGGAGGTAAACTTATCTCAGAAACACGCTTGTATTATGCAAAAATGAGGACAATTACTGGCCATCTACAGCAGCATCCACTCACTTGCTATAAACTCACTAAAAATAATGTGGGAAAGAGAGTGTATCTTTGATATCATAGCTTGATTGATCAATCTGCATGCTGTCAATTTGATTCAATTTTTTAAAGTAATTGCTGAATCTATCAAATGTACGCCGAGTGCTTTAAGAGAGATTAAGAAAGGGCCAATTTAGCATGGTAAGCTGTTGTTGCAATTATCCACCAGCTCGAAGTCTGTTTGCCTTGTCAACAATCCAGTTTCAGAATTACTTACTGTACTGTGTTACGCTCTACCATTGCAAACTGCAGAAAACGTCTAACTGCTGTATTCTAGATTGTCGAAAACCGTTTGGCTCATAACGTTTGTGCTTTGGTGAAACATTATGATGGTTGAAGAAACCTTTGCCACTTGGCCAAACAGTAGTGTCGTTGCTAAATTTATATTTTCTCATTTACGATATTATGATAACTTTTCATACTTAGTTTACATAGAGTGAGTGTACTTCATTGCTGCTCATTAGTAGTGGTTTCTACTTTTAATTTGTATTGAGTGTTACACAATTACATTTCGAACTATTACCACAGAATTTTTGTTCACAGACTAGTAGAGGGTTACACTCCACACCGTAAACGCAGTTTTGTTTTGAAATTTAGTTGCTGGCTGCACAGTAAGTGTAAATTAGATATTTACCGCTTGTTGTCTTTCACAAGCAACCATAATAAGTGATGAAGCGATGATAGACGACAAGAAGTTTGATTGACTTATAGTCAAAGCAGCTTAGCCATTATTCCTTGCTTCGGTGGAGCTGTTTAGTAGAGGGTCGAAGTTGTGCTGCGCATCCCACCAACGAACGGCGGTGAAGGAGACATCGTTGTTTCACGCCCTACGTCGGTTCTAGAGCTTTTATATTAGGATCATCACATGCCCACTTTAAGGGGTGGATAAACATATATGAGCGGATTATCATTCATGGCATTCGCTGTTGCTGTCAAATTGTTAAGCACAAAGAATAAAAGGATTATTATTTGTAGCTTATAAAAAATGTTCAATATTATAAAAACAAGAAAAGACTTATTTGAATAAGATCAGACACAAAAACTAATGATTTATTGATGAAGACAAGAGTTATTCTATTTATACTAAGTTCTGAATGCCAAAGTAGCAATTTATCTTGTACAACGCTTATCACATCTGGTGAACCTCAGTATTTAGATAGCTG